TATCTCTCCTATTGATTAAATGGATGTTTGTTTTTTGAGTTTGCCCACTGACTGATATCAGTTAGAGAACCATTAAAAACCAGCAGAGAGTACTGGATAGCTGTTTCATTCTAGTATGAGAATTATCGGCAATATGCACCCACTGGGGTAGGAAATCAGAACCTTCCGGTGCGTCGGTGGCACAGTGGTTAGGACTCTCGCCGACCATCCACATGGTCCGGGGTTCGAGCCCACGCCGGCGCACACCTGATATCTATGGTCGGCCTTCAAAATTTGGGCTACCGATATCCATGCTGAAAATTCCATACTTGTAGCAAAAATACAGTGTGGAATCAAGCTGTAAATAAAAAAAAAAATAATAAAATGCAAGCTCTTATACCATTCAGCTAGTGGGACTCGATTCAATGGACAGCTCATAAATTCCAACTTCTACCAGTTCGTGATTTTAGCGCGACCACCGACCAATGTCGTCGGTGGGAACTGCATCCACACACTTGACTGCATGCACCTCACTGGTCATGGCTTCTCACTAAAACTGCAGTCAGCTTCTTTCTGTAGCCAGTCACTAGCTAGCATCAGATTAATTTTCAAAAGTTGTTTTTTAAGGATATCTATCATTGGTCAAACTCGAAAACCAAATCTAATCCTTACAAATCAACTCTTAAAGGAATGTTATTGTATGATGTATTCATAATCTGTTATTGTCATTTATTTAACGTTTGTTTGCATACAGTTTGGTTCAACATAGCTGGGTATCTTTCCTCTAAGTTTCGGGAAATATTGTATTTACTTAAATAAACTGAAACATTTCAAGAAAACATACATTGTATTATTACATATTAAAATCATTAAGTATGACAAGCAGTGTGTTTACAGATCTCTTATATGGCTTTCTTCACGGGTGAATTTGTTCAAGCTTACTTATTTTGAAGACTAGTGATGACTGAGGAAAAGAAAAACATACTTATGGAACTAATACTTATGGTGAATCGGTAGAATTTGAAATCCATGAGCCATTGGATCAGGTCCCAGTGGCTTAATGGTCTCCGAGCTCCTGGGTCCGAACCCTGACGGTGGGTGCATACTGCCAAAGAGTACCAAACTAGGATGTAACAGCTGTCCAGTAATCCCATAGTTTCCAATGGTTCCCTAATCGATGTCAGTTAATGATGAAATCCTGCGACCAATATTACTCATCCCTTTTTATGAAGGAACGCATCTATTTATAAATATTATGTTGCATGTTTGCATAAAATGTTTTTAATCAGGTCGCATTGGAAGTGATATGACTTGATAATCTTATCAAAGAACTTTATCAGAGTATAAATTCAAGTGAAGAAGCGGCAAAGTTCGATAAGTAATGTAGCAAAGAAATGATATCATGACTGCTGGACATAAATGGACCAGTGAAACATAAAACAAATGCAATTTTTAATAAACACTGTCTAATCACTTTTGAGTATGTGGATTTTGCCATCGTAGAAAAATAAATCGATCAAACGTAATAGCAAGGTCTCAGGGCAATCCATTGGTTAGGAGGTATATACATTGTTGTTGAAACCAATAAGTGTAAACGATATGATTAATGATTAATTAAGACTACTTCCGCACTCATCTAAATATTTTTATATGATCAAAACACACGTGATATCAAGAATTAATTTTTGTTTGTAAAATAATTCGACTAAGATTGAGGACGTGAAAAGGAATGATGTCACAGATCAGCATGTTTTCTGTATATCCTTAGATTGTTTTAACCCATCGCGATTGAGTGAAGCTTCAGAACAGCATCCATATGTTGTCAGTCACTACTCCTCCTGACATAGACAGTAAGCTGGTAGCAGTTTATCATCAAACTAATTGTCGGTTGCTTGACAGGCTCAAACTATCGATTTCTAACTGCCTGTTGCATTGATAAATACTCAATACTAACTCATATCAACGTTATTATTATTATTCAGCCTACAATTCTAAAGATTACTGAATTGTCTTTCTAAACACAAATATTCGTTGGCACAGTGATGTGACTTACAATCACTGGTATCCTTTCCCACTGCTTCTGCTTATAAACTTGACATGGAAGATGTTCCCACATCTGTTTTGCTATGGCTGATTTGCTGTGGTTTATTATTTTTTCACATACCTCCCTACATATTTCATACAATATGTATCACAAAGTCTGCATAGCATCTACCCGTTTAGTTCTTCCGAAATTTGACGACTTCGCTGAATCCTTATTTTGTAACAAATACTCCTTTTATCAAAGTCGTGACGGGAAATATATATATATATATTCATAATCTGGTTGCACACGATATTGGTAATCATGTCATATAGAATGATAAGGCCAATTAATTTACGTCTGTATTTCTTTGAATTCTTTTGGATTCTGAGTGGAAGATAGGGCTTCAAACCTGAAGCCCTGAAGTTTCAGTTTTCGTGGTGATTGTATTCACTGAGAACTGAATTCAGGCCACATTCGTGGTTGACGAGCATTCTACCACTAAATCCCCGGGACACTTGAAAAACGGGAGGTACTGGACATCTATTTCATTCCGCTCTGGGATCTTCCGGAAGCGTACACGCACAAACCCACCAAGAAAGTCACCTGAGAACAAGCTCGTTGACCATTCAGCCAGTTGGTCCTGAATAATGTGAGCAAAAATATTTATCCTCAAAATTATCTATCTGCCTAATAATTGACTGCCGGTTAGTGCAAAGCGCCGTCAGGCTTAAGTTCCTGTACATAGTAATAGATTATTTATCAGTCTGGAAGTTCTTAAAGTAGGAAATGGAACATACTTTTAACTTTATGTTGAATTGAATATTAAAGAAACAATTCCTGTTCCAATCGTCTCATGAAGGAAGTCTTTTTCTGTGTTCACGTTTACTTAGACTTGAAAACGCTTGAATAAAAATGACAGTTCATGAAACTTTCAAAAGCTTCGAGCAGTTTTTTTCTAATTGTCTAAAGTAGGTGCATATATTTATTATCTTTACGTTTATTCAGCATTGTTCTCATCCATTTATTCTCTTAAAAGGAATATAATTTCTCAGAAGAATTCGTCTCATATTATTATTGTTATTATTTCCTCAGGTTCCGAATGGAACATAAGGCTTCAACAGCACATCTCCATTTTACCCGATTCTCTGCAGTCCTTTTCAGCTGACTACAGATTTGACGGCAAAGTCTCATCTCCTCACACGATTTCCTCCATATCACCGTTGAACCCTAGCCCAAGTTATCATTTCTTATTTGGGTTTCATTTGAAGGTCTCTTGTGCCATGTCACTCTATGGCCATTTCAGTGTGTTTATGATCCATCTCTATTCCCATCAACGTATTTGGTGATCAGTGGGTTCTTGGTTGATTCATTGTCAAAGTTCTTTGAAACTATACCCTTCTGGCCATCTGATCTTCAGTACGGAGAAAAGGTGGCTGTTTATCAAAGTATACAGTAGCCTGTTGGGATTGTTTTTAGCGACATGCCAAGCCCTTGAACCATTATGAAGTAACAGTCTTGTTCCATATTCTGAGAGAAGGTAGATCTCCACACTGATTTCACTCTAATGAAGGTCTATCTTAGTTTTCCTATCTTAGCTTTGACCACTTCATCCCTGCCGCCTCTATTTGAAAAGAAGCTATCTAGACAAGTAAAGGAAATGATATCCTTTAAATTTCCTCCGTTGATAGTGACTGATATTTATTGTTATCGTCGTTTAAGTATCTTTATCACCTCAGTCTTCTTCATGTTTACTTGAATTCCTGTCTTCTCTGCTTATCGCTTCTGGCAACTCGTTTGGTTTTCGTCTATACACTTTTGATTTTGTGTGAAATTGAAATATAGTATTACAATGGTACCCCTCCCCTATTTTGAGTAGGAAACAAATTAAAATACACCAGAACGGGGGATAATTCCGAACAGAAACAGGATATAAGAAATCTGAAGTGATAACGCTAAGTAGATTTGCTATTGTTTAATACACTGAAATCTTCAGCCCTTGTATTTACTGAAATCTATTCATCTAAACTGCCTTAAACCGATCATCCATTTTCGGCTTTGACTTTTATAATTTCTACTAATCTACCCAGCTCACACCAGTATAAGAATGATAGTAGTAATAAACAATGTCTGGCAATTATAACGATGTAACCAGTTAACTTATACATTTCTGTGATTAAGACTGATGCCTTAATGACAAAAACCCCATTAAATAAATTCTTAGTTCACATGCCTTCTTCTTCAGACTGTAATTCATTTGCAAATGATACAGTGAATGACTGTTTTACTTAATGGTCTTTTAAGAAAATAGTAAGCGGTATTCTTCTTCAAACTGAGGAACAGTTGGTTATAACTTATTTCATCCTAAGCAAAATTAACTATTGAATCAGTAAAAGTAGTTTAGATATGTTGATTGGTCTTGGAAATATATTTTAAACTGATAATGAAAACACTGAAAGATGATAGTACCATAATAATATGGAAATTGTAAAAACCTATTTCAGAATTTTCAAGTGTTGGTTTGCAGGAGTCTGATGGATTTCAAGCTTATTCATGAACTTACTTCAGACAGAGAACTCTGAAAACCAGCAGGGAATACTGGATAGATGTTTCTTGCCACTTTAGGACATCTGGACAGTGGACACTCACGGTCGCTCTAGAGGTTGAACTCAAGACTTTCGGGCTGCAAGGCGAGCAACCTGAATGGCATATAATAGCTAATTAATTTTAACTTGTGCTAATTCACTATGTGTCGTGTGAGCGCCAGCCAGTGTTATCGGCAATTAATCTGTCCTCACACACAACTTGGTGGGCACCGCTAGTCATGGCTTCTCTCAGAGCTTCAGGAGACTCTATCCTGTAGTCAGTCACTAGTGAGCACTGTAGGAGAAATTGGTTGATTTCAAAGGTGATATGTGTATTCTTTTATTTTTCCGGATGGTTTACTTGAGAATTTACATGTTCTACACTTTTTTTTCCATTTATTTAATTTGTTTAGACAATACAAAAATCTCTGATTCTTGGACAGATGCTAAAAACACATGGCCTACGTACAGTTCACTACCCAGTACTGTGAGTCACGTTCCATAATATTGTTAATAACGTTAAAAATAGTAACACTTTTGACTTAAAACTAGCTACTCTCCTAGTGATAAGTGTTAACATTCCCATTAACTAATTCTTTTCAGATTGACATCCAAAAACTTTATTTTCTCAATAATCTGTTTTATCCACAATGTATAATACAGAATGGTATACTGTAATAAATTTGTAAATTTATGCTACTGTAAAGTTTCTACAGTTTTTTTTCAAATTGTTTGCTGTAATGGTGAGAAGTGAAGAAATGAAACCAACAATAACGGCATACACTGAGCATGCGGTCGAATAACATCACGCGCCAGGTCCTCGAGTGCATTTCTAATGGCAAGCCACGAGTGGGTTGTCTTTGGGTGACGTATACGAGATAAGGGATTTTGAGCAATCGTAGACCCATATGAAGAGGACAAATAAAGTACAACAAGGGGAAATATGTCGTTAAAGCCCTATTTTCCCCTCGGAACCCAAGGGAATAATAATATAATAAATAATAATAAAAGATTCAAGGGGGACTGATAGGATGGAATAGTAATAATTAGTACCTCATCACTGCTGCATAGCTTAAACAGCTAGAAGAAAAATTGATAAGAAATACTTACTTAGCTATCTTGATACATGTACAAAGAAAAAGGAAAATTAATGGTTGTCTAGAAATATGACTGATGATGTATACCATTCGTACATGCAATGTTTTTCTTTCAGTGTTCAGGAGACTCACCCAGTGTTTCGGAAATTTCTAGCCAAACTGTTTCATTATTTTTAAAACACCATGAATGTTCTGTATTGTAACACCAAAGATGATCTTATGCTCAAAATGTTTTCTAGGTGTTAATACTGAATCCCGATGTGATTTCCTAGGATAAACTTTTCTAATCTGGAACGACCTTATTTAGTTATCGAGTATTCTTAACTAATCTTGGCACTTTATATTGCAGGTGAAATATAACTGTGAGTGATACATGAATTTTAGGATTATTAATTTAAAAAAAGACAAGAATGTTCTCTAAATCATATCCAACTTTTCAATATCATCTGTTTATGATTACAGAAAACCAGGTCATCAGTGCCAACAACAAAGTGCACTTACGATTTTCCTACAAAAAGACTTTTGCTTATGCGAGAATCCAAGGATCGACATCACAAAGGTGAGTGTTATCGTCATATCATTCTTTTGATGAAGACATATTCCATTTGTTTGTTGCAATAAGGGAGAAATCGTTTATATTTCAAAATATAAGTTATTTAATTATCACCTCTTTCTAATGTGATAAATCATTGGGAAAAATGAAACAAACTAATTACAATGATCATTTACTTGATAAGCAAATTGGATTATTCACAGCATTATGCCTATGAACTGTAAGAAACAGTTCTAAAATCCAAGTGTTTGATAACATCCCATTTGACACAGGTCTTACCCAGTAGCATCCTTTTTGAGAAACCCATGACCCTTTCGTAGATTCCAATTTGAACAAATAATCATGGGAGTACAGACCAGGTGACATTCTTCTAGTCTGATTCTCATTTGTTTTCTGATATTATTTTCTGGTAAGTTTCATTAAACATAAAATCGAAGTCATACATAGCAAATCATCAGTTAATCCCGGAACTCTGACGTAGTAGTCAGTATTACTTCATCCTACCTAACAAGCAGCTGATCAGCACGCTTTTTAACACTTCTGAACTGACCCACACCTTTTAGTTACAATCGTTAAGAAAGTTTTAGAGGTTAGAGGGCAGGGGACGATTGCATAATCTTTGATAAAGGATCCTCAAACAATTACCTTCTCTAGCTACCTAAGTATCAGTCATTTACTCAGTTATTTCATTATGTGTATATCCTCATTATTGTTTACTGGAATCAGTTATGCTTTTTATCCCCACTCTTAATCCACTAAAGTTTACTTATAATATAGTGCTTTATTAAAACAAGGAAGTTCAAGCATTTGTTTGTAACATCAAAATTTTTATGACATATTTGAACATAAGTTTTACATCATTTAAACAGATACTTGTTTTTTTGTTTTTTTTTTCAAACTGAGTTGTAAATTATTTCGTTGCTTAGCAACTTCTGTATGCAAAATAATCTAAGCTGATAAACTCTGGTACTACTCAAATCAGTTATGTTATAGTTTTAAGTAATTTGCTAACAGTCACCTATTTCCTAGTCCAAATCAGTTTCTTTCTGATTACCAAAATGAATAGGTCTGTTTATGTAGTTTCTAAGATAAATGGGGAGAAAACTTTTCAGATTTGGTTTTTATTTAGTCAGAAAGGAAGGAGAACAACTTTCTACGGATCAATGAATATAAATTACCGTAAAACAAATTGTCGTAGTCACTTATTTTTCTGTTATCCACGCATATACTGAATAGTATTTTTCTGCAGTAGTTTGATATGTAACCTATATAAAGTGGCAGTACTAATTTACTAGACTTAGTTGTTTGTAAGTTGTGGAGCTAAGCCATAGCCAATCAATTTATTGCCCTCTATCACATTTGGATATGCCTGTTCTCGTTTTAAAATTACTTCTACATTAGCTAACGTCTGATGCTAGTTTAAGCGGCTGGCCACCATTTGAAACATAACTATAACCTCTTCAGCACATATATGTAACATTGAAATTTTCAACTTTTAATCCCACAGTCTGCTTGCAACGTTAAACTGGTGGTCACAATATGACAAAAAAGGACATTTTTGGTGAACAGTCTCGGAATCCTATAGATAAACATATAATTTACTCTGTTTACCGTTGAAAACAAGTTTCCGATGAGTAAATAAGTTTTACAATAGCGTAGTGTCAAGATATGAGCGGAATAGAATGTATTATCCGTTATTTCTCCTAACCCCAACACTAGCAATTATGAGCTGACATTAGTTAGAGAACCATTGGGAAACCTGGGAGTACTGGACAACTGTTTCGTCCTGGTTTGGGATTCTTCAGCAGTACGCACCCACCACCACTGTTCGAACCCAGGACCTTCCGGTTACAAGGCGAGCTCGTATACCATTAGGCCACTGGGACCCGATCCAATGGTCCTTGAATTCTAACTTCTGCCAATTCACGACATAGCGCGACCGCTAGCCAATGTCTTTGGCGAGTATTTGTCCTCACACCCGACCAGCTGCACCCTACTGGTCACGACTTCCCACTGGAACCCAGGTAACTACCTACCTGAATAGGGCCAGTCGCCAGTGAGCATCTCATTGGTATTCAAGTGTTGGTTTGTAGGGATTTGATTGGTTTCAGGATTTAATCATGAGCTGACATTAGTTAGAGAACCATTGGAAAACCTTGTAACCGGAAGGTCCTGGGTTCGAATCCCAGTGGGTGCGTACTGATGAAGAGTCCCAAACTAGGACGAAACAGCTGTCCAGTACTGAGCTGATAGTTTCTAATTACTTGTAATCACGGAGACTGAAATGCTTCAATGCTTTCTACTCCGTTCTTTTCAAACACAGTATTATAAAGTGACAACAAATAAGGTGAATTTATGGTAGATCTCATGCTTCTGTGGTGGGATGCTCGTCAGTGATGCAGGCTGTCCGGGGTTTGATTCCCGGATGACACACTACTCTACCTCAATTTATTGGCCGATAGTAAGTATGTGAATGAGGGTAGGCTGGGCGTGAGACGCCATGACTACTAAAACTTCAGGGCTTCAAACCGAAAGCCCTGTGTTTCACTCAGAATGCAAAGAAATGGTAAAAGATTAGTTTCTGAAGTCCCCGAGAATTTAATCTTGGAGAAGTTTTTATTAAGAAAGTATTTAACCATTTATAATAATTATTATTAATTGTTATTTTGCCACAGGAGGTGGAATCGGCATGAGAATTGTTGGAGGACATATCCGATCAGATGGTAATTTAGGAGCATTTGTTGAAGAAATCTATCCCTCTGGACCAGCTGATCAGCTTCATGGAGAGATAAAAGAAGGTAATTTTTCATAAAGCAAGGGTTCTTATGATTAAAAACTACGTTCATTTATTTCTGCTGATTTTTACCTTACTTGTTGACAAAACATTAAAAAGTCTGATGAAATGAATATTCATAGGTTGACATAAATCTCAACCCTGTGTGATGAAGACGGATTTATTTCATAAGTTCGAAATTACAGGCGTCTAAATCGTAAGACTGTGGCTTGATAGGTGATTCGATTGTCTGGTTAAGATGATGTTATTGTGTTGTTTTACTGAAGTCCTAAAATGAGACAAAATGATCTTCGATCCTCCTCACTGTCCAATAGTGCTTGTGACAGTATTTGTTCTATTCAAGGTAAAAGGTGAGTCCGTGGCACAGCATTAGAATGCTCGCCAATCCCGCATGTGGTCCGGGGATCGATCCCTGACTGACCCACTCCCAAACCTCACTAAGCCAGTTATTAGACTGGCATAAAGTTAAGGTTGGGCATATGAGGCTAGAAACCCCATCCCATAAAATATAATCACCACTGCTACCGGGACTTCAAAGCTCTAGCTTGAAGTTGTATGTTCCACTAAGAACTTAAAGGGATAAAATAATAATAAATAAAATGTGTGGTAAAAGATATCATCAATTAGAAATACAACTTATTTCTATATGAAATAACACATTCCTTTTTGAAATTATAATTAAGGTAAATAATCGACTGACTTCTTACTTGAGGACAGATGTCGAATAGGAAAAGAAAACAACACTAATTGGTGAACTCAAAATAACCTTCAAATAAAGAGAAAAGAAAGGACAAACATCTCATGCATAATATATGACAAAAATTAACCTCAATTACAATTTAGGGGGACACATTGAAAGCAAAGAAGAAAAAACACGAAAACATGAAATTAATTTGAAGACTACAGTTCATCTGTCCATCATTTCTCTCTTTTAATAAATATTATCTTTCTTGTACTCATAATGTATAAATCAATTAGGGAAAATATGCTACGATTAAAGATGTCGATGAAAGTAGATTAAATAGCATAATAAACTGGAAAGGTGCTCATATGTACTTCACACTATTTTAATGCCACATGATAATGAAAACTACAAGCAACCAATACAATTATGAATTATTTTGCTTTGGAATACTCTTACTGTTAAGCGTTTCATTGAAGTATTAATCGCCTAACTTCAGTTTCTATTTGAATACTTCGTCAAATCTTTCAAGCTTCTGCAAAACAAAAAAAAACAGTTCAAGTATTGGTTTGTAGGGATTTGGTTGATTGGTTACAGGGTTTCATCATGAGCTGACATTGGTTAGAGAACCAATGGTAAGCCTGGGAGTACTGGACAACTGTTTCGTCCTAGTTTGGGACTCTTCAGCAATACGAACCCACCACCACTGTTCGAACCCAGGACCTTCTGGTTACAAGGCGAGCTCGTATACTATTAAGTCACTGGGACCCGATTCAATGGCCCATGAATTCTATCTTCTGCCAATTCACGATATAGCGCAACCGCTAGCCAATGTCTTCGGCGAGTATTTGTCCTCACACCCGACCAGCTGCACCCTACTGGTCACGACTTCCCACTGGAACCCAGGTAACTACCTACCTGAATAGGGCCAGTCGCCAGTGAGCATCTCATTGGTATTCAAGTTATTCAGTTATTATTTGAATAAAAATATGTGGGACTAAAAAGAGTAAATACACTGCGAATGTAGGGCTGAAATCGTTTCTAATTTGATTCGAGGATGGAGTTACTTAGATGTGTGTGTGACTTGGTATATATTTTCCGTTCCCCAGGACATAAACCAAACTTATTATGTGAGGGCTGATTCCATTATCTATTTGCTCAGGCTGAAACACATAGAGCAGGAATTAAACTAGAGATCAACTAGCCTAAAGTCGAGTGAACCAGGGTAGAGACACATTCTCCATTTAGTTGTTATTTACTAATGTTTGCATTTCAGTAACTGAGCTATCATAATATATAAGTTATGTCCTCGAAAAAAATCCGTGCACAGGTAAGGAGTTTTCTGAAACACGTCTTTTGGAACAAGTTTTGTTGTTTGAAAGATTATACACCAAACAGTTGTAAAATTGTTCCAAATTCAAAATTAATTGGAAATTACCACGAGTACCATCATTTAACATTTACGTGTTTTCAAATAAAGCATCGATATTAAGTCAATGAAGCGCCTATTTAACTTGACTAATTGTGTTTATGTTCCCTTCAAAGTTAATTAATGTGAATTTGTCTTCCAAAGTCGATATTTGACTAATACTTAGGCTATGTATGCTATCTAAATTATTACTTATTTCAGCTCACACAATGGTGAGTGTTGATTCTTTACTGGATGAAAAGAAGAAGATCCTGGACTACCCTACACGTTCATTGTGCAGATTATTTTCAGAGAAATCTGTTAATACTTGTTGTTTTCATTTCGGTTGTATTGAGGGAGTAATTCATCAATGTATTTAAACTAAGTTCATATCATAACAGTAAACAAATGCTTTAAAATCCAATAGGAACATGTAATTTATTTGCGTCAGTTGTTACTATTACTATTCTCACTTTGAACTGTCCCGGTATCATTTCACTTGTTCCACTTGTCATTCTAAATCAGTTATGTTAAGCAACGTTAAATGTTATGTTTGATTGGATGGAAGATTTCATCATAAGCTGACATCAGTTAGAAAAGTATTGGGAAACTTGGGAGTACTTGACAGCTATTTCGTCCTAGTTTTGGACTCTTCATCAGCACGCACCCACCAGGGTTTGAAGCCAGGACCTTCTGGTTATCAGGATAGCTAGCTCCTAGACCAATAATCCACTGGGACCTAATCCAATGGCCCATGAATTCTAATTTCTGCCAATTCATGACATAGTGCAACCACTTCACAATGTCCAGTGGTCCTCTAAATGATGTCAGCTTAGGATGATGTCCTCTATCCAATCAAATAAAATTCCTACAAAACCAATACTTGAAAATTCAGTTATCAAATTGCACACAGTGTTAAGTAACGTTTGCATTAATTCGATATGCTGCTAACCTTATTATTTCACACCCCTTCCAAGTTCTATTCATCCTGTTTTGCTACTTGATACTTAACCATGATTATAATCACAGACATTTTTATTGCATCTAATCGCATTCACACATATAATTTATTTATGTTAAAATTATTTACTACTGATTGACATAAGTAGTCAAAAACTAATGATTTCAACCAGTATTATTTGCTAGACAAACCATGATGTTCTTATTAGCAGACTGTCTTTCTACTCATTCGTAACCGAACTCATTAGCAGTGTATGTGCTTTATCTCACATCAGTTAGTCAACTGCAATGCACTAAAATGTTCAAAGTTGAGTGATAAACAAAACGCCAAATCTGTATACAATTGGTGGATGGTGGCTAGCAGTGGAATCCAGGATGCGCATTTCGTCCTATTTGGGACTCGTCAGCTGCATGTGGTCTAGTGGATAACGCTTTGGCGTTTGAAACTATGGGCACTGGGTTCGAGGCCCGGTGGGAACATCATTACTCATTGGGGAATGCAGGTACATCCAGCTGACGAGTCCCAAATAGGACGAAATGCGCATCCTGGATTCCACTGATAGCCACCATCCACCAATTAAATTCTAATTACATGCCCAGACATCATCGAAGCATCTGCACAAGAAGCCGACATATCAACCTGAGACCGAGCACTTCGGTCCAATCAATCGACGGGAAAATCAAAAATTCAATTCAATAAAACGCCAAATCATCCACATCAATTTGACTAATTCCAAAGTTGAAACCTCAGATCATAATAAGAACTTTTTAAACTTTCTTCTACTACAAAAAAGTACAGATAGTTAATATGAAGGACAGACAGGCACTTGCATATATTTTCAACCCCCACTTCAGATGTAGGAGATTAAAAGTCTTATCAACTGAAGCAAAGTCTACTTTCATGCTTTATTTTTAGTATAAGAGTGTGTCATTCAATCATGCCACATCAATATAAGCTTTCGTTTGACGACTTAATTATAAGGCACTTAACGACTGCTTTGGTATTTTATTTTAAACTCTAATATTCCACCTTATAGACAGCTTTTAAAATAAGTAAATCTTCACAAAGTTAACGTTCAAAGTAGAATACGCTTTTTTCAATTAACTGAAATTTGAGTAGCGCGGTTAATTTGACTTCGAATGTCTACAAACAATGACCCTTTAATCACTTATTTTGACAGTATCATCACTGAGAAAAAGATGAGAATCACAGTGATAATAATAATAAACAGCACTTATTTTCTGTCAGTATCTTTTATGTAATTTGATATTTTAAATATGCTTTGGCATAATTATGAGCGAATGTGTTGTAGGCACACAAACAAGACTGAGAGATAAACTTGCTGAAGGAACATATATTCAAATCTTTAACTTCTAAGTTACTACAGTCTTTCCATAAGCATTTAAGCTAGTGATATTTCATCAGTTTGGAGATGGTTACCTCTATTTCATTATTTCTTTTATTCTTTCAAAACTGTTTAAGCTTACTGAAAATAACAGCCTGTCAAATTCAAATGACAGGAATGTCTTTTGATAAATATGCTGGTATATAGTCATTTTTAAATCATGATATAATTAACCTATTATTAGTTAGTTTAATCCGTCCACTTGTCTAGTATATCCTGTTCTAATTGTGAGTAGAATATCAGTGCTGTCGAAATTATTTCTCATAAAATCACCTTGTATTAACTTCGTTTTATCATTCAACTGGTATGTTGAAGATGACTAAACGCAAATATTTTTTTTCATTTCATTGCCGTTCTAGTTGGAGGATAGGGCGTCAAGCTTGAGCTTTGAAGTTTCAGTGGCTTTATGGATAGGATTGCCAGTTTCATGTCAAACCTTCTTACTAAACAGAGCTTACTACCGACCCACAGAGATTCAGGAGTATCTCGGCCGGGAATCGAACCCCAGACCACATGTGAAAATATATACTTGGTTAATCCGAAATACATTGATCAAAATAAATCAGTCAGTCATTCAAAGTAGTCAGTGAAGATTATTGCATATGCATATAGGCAATTAATTTATGCTATACTAATATCGATTGTAATAACAGTCATAAAGAGATGTGTTTTGGGGACTTTTGAAACAATTTTTTCTACCCATTGGTTAATATGCAAAGAAGTGTGTAACCTCCAAGGTAGTTGAAAAACAGGCTAATCAAGTAAAAACAGGTCAGATGTAACATTTTATAGTTAAAATAACTAGTGGTTAGTTAGTTCAATGATTATCCATCATAATTGGGAGAACTTTCTGGCTCAGCACAACCGCTATTGCTCAGAATGATTTATCCTTTGGGTTTATGCTTTATTGCTAGTAAGACTGACTCATTTGACTCAAACTCATCAGCCCCCAATTCAATCAATCCAGAAATTTATAAAGGAGTGAATTTCTATTTTATTTTTATTTTTTTATTTCTGATTACAGCTTGATTCCACACTGTATTTTTGCTACAAGTATGGAATTTTCAGCATGGATATCGGTAGCCCAAATTTTGCAGGCCGACCATAGATATCAGGTGTGCGTCAGCAGGGGATCGAACCTCGGACCATATGCATGGTCGGCGAGAGTCCTAACCACTGTGCCACCGACGCACAGATGAAACAATAGTTTTCTCCTTAAAGATTCAGAAGAAACTATTTGAAATCCGTTGACTGAAGCAATCATTTCATGAAATAATTCACCAGTATATTTCATCTGAAATGAAGAAAAGCTTGTTTGAAGTTTGAAATGTAAGTAAAACTGCAATCAACAGACTTATAGACTTAGATAGACCTAATTCACAACCTACCTAGAGATGAGAGCAACTAAGCTCCATTCAACCAACTAAAAGGTTATATGTCTAAAAATTTATGTTCTCCCAAACAGTTATACAAAATGTAATTGAAAAGAAGTGACGGCGCTTAACTATTCATGCAACTAATAAATATGCCTTACATCTTAGCGGAGTTAATCCTGAAAATATCACAAAGCTTGGTTATAAAACGTCTACGATTAAGTGTCAAATAGGTTCAGAGAATACCAAGCGACTTTTATCGTCATCCTTATTATTCCACTCCATGATTTGATAGCAGAAAGTAACTATGACAAAAGTGCTTCATAGATAAAATCTTTCTAATATAGGCAACTGTAAATTAAATGTTTGGAAAAACGATGTCAACTCGTGGTCAAATTTAAAATCAGTCAAATTACTACAGACTAACTCTTAGAAGTAAAACTGATGCTCACCAGTGACTGGTTACAGAGGATGAAGTCGTCTGAAGTTCTAGTGGGAAGTTATGACCAGTGTAGTGCACTAAATCGGTTGTGGCAACAAGTACTCCCCGATGAAATGGGGAGGAGATCGCGTGAAAATCAACAACTGATAGAGGTAAGAACTCACGGATCACTGAATTTGGGCTGATGTGGCTGAATGGTCAAAGAGCTTGCCACTTGTAACCTAAAAATACTGGGTTCGATCCCTTCTGTAGAGTTGTGGGTGCATACCGATGAAGGATCTCAGCCCAGGACAAAATGTCTGTCTAGTGTTCCCCGGTTTTCAGTGGTTCTCTAAATGCTTTCAATCCGTGGTATAACTTGAAACAAGTTAAATCACTACAGAATAACTCGTGAAAAAGCCGTACCTTTGTAAAACACCATATAACATGGAATTATTCTGTCAGTGTAATTATTACTGCCCAAATATTCATTTTCCGGTGGAAATTCTTAGTTTTTCTTGAGTAACAGAGAATAAAGCGCGTTATTTAAATATAAATGCAAACATTTTCGATAAAAACTACCTACCCCCTTAATTTCATTTTATTCCATTTGCATAAAGGTGATGAAATACTTGAATGGAATTCGATTCCTTTAGTTGGCAAAACATTTGAAGAAGTACAAGCGATAATTAGCCAAGTATCTGAAGAAACAGAACTGCTTGTCAGAGTGTAAGTGTATGTACTCGAATATCAAATCGACAATTTCATTAACTTTTGTTACTGAATGTTTTTTTACTGGTTTACATAAAAGCCGTTGACGAATCAAATGTAATTAAAATTATTTGTAACAGCAGCTTAGTAAAATACTGTCAGTACGGTCTGGAATTTAATCTGTCATAGCGAACATGTAAAAGGTATTTGACTGTAAAGATGTGCAAGTCACACGTGCTAGAATTCTTTCAACAAGAATGTTTCCTTTATACTTTTTCATAAAAATAATCAGTTAGATACTGTGAACTGTAAGTAACTCTACAAAACTGTTGGTAAGACTCTCGGATATGACCTTCGGACTGCCAGACTACTGTTGACGATAAAAGGCAGAATAAAGACCTTGTTCGCGCAAAAATGTCAACCTGCAGCTTCAGAATTTCCAAATCCGAGATGGAAAAGATGTGGTTTTCATTGTATAGATACTATTTCAAACTTGAATATAACTGATATAAGAATAAAACTTGTGCACTGTGGTAGAGTATAGTTCCATTATGGGTAAATTTTTGTTTTGATAAAGTCTCACAGTGTTATACAGTAATGTTTACTGATGACGTTTCGAGCACAATTTATTGTTCATAATCATATCAAGGTACTCGCACGACTTCCTAACTTCATTTATTTAGTTCCATTATTTTTCCACTTGATAGTAACTTGGTAGTAACGTTTTCCATATTTCGAGTATGAGTGATGAATCATTCCTATTGCATGTGTCTGTTTTAGACTCGATGAACAAGGATTCAGTAATCAACCTCTCTCTCCATCTATCTAGATTACTTTTTAGAATTTTAACCCTCTCCCACTCTATTGTGTGGTTGTGTGTTAATCCATGCAGTGTGATTGCTGAGCTTTTTTCTAAATTACTTATCTTTTCAGGGTCAACCATTCTTACCTTAGCTGAATTCTTATGTTTTGACAATCTGACTACCCCTGACCCAGTTGATCCAATTTGACAAAATAATATAATTTACAAAATACATTGGAATGACTGTAAGGTCAACTACATCGGTCAAACTAGTAGGTCGGGGGTAGTGAGATTATCAGAACATAAGAATTTAGCTAAGGTAAGAATGATTGATCGAACCCGCGAAGATAAGTAATTCAAAAAAAGCTCAGCAGTCACACTGCATGGATTAACACACAACCACACAATAGAGTGGGAGAGGGTTAAAATTCTAAAAAGTATTCTAGGTAGGTGAAGAGGGAGGTGGTTGATTACTGAAACCTTGTTCATCGAGTCTACACCAAACACATGCAATAGGAATGAGTCATCACTCATACCCGAAATATGGAAAATACTACTGCCAATCAAATCAAGTGGAAAAATAATGGAACTAAATAAATGAAGTTAGGAAGTCGTGTGAGTACCTTGATATGATTATGAGCAATAAATTGTGCTCGAAACGTCATCAGTAAACATTACTGTATAATACTGTGAGACTTTATCAAAACAAAAATTTACCCATAATGGAATTGAATATAACTATTTCACATATTTTACAACACTTGTTACTAAGAATTAAAATTTGAAAACTATATACATTTGCAGTCTATATAGAAAGCTGAATAACATTCGAGAAATGATAGACTCATTGGCACAGGTTTGCGAAACAAACCTGAAGGTCTCTCAGTTATTTTCATGAGAAATAACCTTACTAAAAGATAGTTTCATAATGAATTAAAATCGCTTGTGTAAAGGATACACAAAAGCAAACATATTAATGTACACAGAATCACAAGTTCTGAAGTAAATTTGATTCTGGATTTCTGAAGGCAGATCCAAATACAGAAAACATAATCACCTAGAACCCCACTATAATTGTTGGTCATCGTAATAACAGACAACTTTTGCTGTATACAGTAAACATCTTGACACTCTCAGTAATGACATATCCATTAATTTGCCACTGGCTTTCAGGAGAACCGACCACATCCACCTCTGCCTCTTGCAAGACGAGACCAGCATACAGTATCATACTGTGGCGCAACCACTCAAGAGCTCTCTCCCTTAGTGGGTGTAGTGATAAGAGCACAGGCACTGATCTATGTCAAGAAACGTACCCTAAATCATTAGCGGCAACTTCTTACTTTGATAAGGCGAGCACCAATCATAAGCGTCACAAACAGGCCTCCAGACTGACCTTGACATTCTGTTCATTATCCCATAATATTAGGATAAGTAGTTTAATGCAAACATGTTTCTCTCAGTTGATCCCCATCTGTTATTGTTAGCTTTAATAATAAATCACTACAGATTTGAAAACGATTGATTGTTGTCATTCAACCGCAAACGTGAAGGAAATCGTTTAAATACCCTGCGCAGGGTGATAAATTTATCATTCCCTCTAATAAGCACTACTGAAAATGCATAGCTTACAAATAAAGTCAAGGAATAAATTCTAATCCTGTCAGGAGCAAAACTCAGTTATTTATCGTTACACTTAAACCCTCTTAGTATAGATTGAAAAATGTATTAAACTGAAAGAAAATCTGACCGACAAACTGAATGAAAAGGGTATAATTTAGCCAGAAACAAAAGAACCTATTCTTTTATCTCTTTTTTTTGTACAAAGACAAAAATAATTTAAGAGACAGCAAAATAAAAAAAAACTGATCTGCCACAGAACCCTGATATTCAATATAAACGACCTCATTACAAATGAGATTCTCTTGTATAGATGACCTAAACCTACTTAAACCTAAAATTTATCAAAAAAAAAGAAATAGAAGGCAATATGCATACTCAAAAGAAAATCACCTCTTTAAAAGTGTCATTCACTTTTCAGGAGAGAGGAAAAATATATAAATTTAGAGTAGCAGAAGGAAGAAGAACATACAAACAAACAGTATATCCCAATGGGAGAGGAGGGGGTAAAGAAAGCTATTTTATTTCAGTGACTTTAAAATATGATCTAGAAATTTCTTTTTTACCATTTTTAATAATTGCAATAATTATTAGTTCAGTTATGAGTGTTCTTAATTTGACAGACTATTTTAGGTATGTAAGACTATGTGTGTGTGTGTGTGTGTAGAGAGAGAGAGAGAGAGAGGAATTTGATGGTGTTTGTATCTGCATGTAATCAGTAACAAAATTTCATGTAATTCCCCTCTTTCTCTCATATATATAATTTATTATTAGCAGGGATTGTGTACAGGGTGACGACGAAGAAGGTGAAGATGATGGGGAGGACATAGAAGAAGATGAAGAAGAAGAGGAGGATGAAGAATACGATGAAGAATATATTGATGATGATGAAGAACAACAGGATGATGAAGATACACAGTCTTTGGTGCGAAATTGTGGTTCAGGGTCGAATAGAAATAGTGGACAAGGCAGTCGACCACGTAAGTGGTTGTGTGTACCCATATAAATAGTGACAGTGATTCTTATTAATCCATGTTACTTTGGCCTTCTGATGTACAGCCTCGCCTGTTATTCCTAGTTCTGGACAATGAGGGAATGTTGAATGTGCGGCTAGCGACTGTACCCAAAAAAATCAGTCTAATCGTTACACAAACTTCAAACCACAGATAATTTATAAAATAAACCTATTCTTCGCTTGAACCAGAGAGATGAAATGACTCCAGCTGGTGAAAGCTTTCAGGAAGCCAGTCAGCAACTCCGAACGATGCATACTATAAGTCTGTTTTTCGTGATAAGCAATGAATTTCACTAAATGATTAAATGTGTCATTTAACGAGATGTTATCACGGATGAAAAATGAAGTTAACGGGTGACTGTTTTTAAAGCGAATTCATAATAATAATAATTTTTCCTTCACGTTCCCAGTGGAACATAGGGCTCCAAGCTAGTGGCTTGAAGTTTCTGTAGCAGTGTTTGATTTTTACAGGATGGGGTTGCTAGCCTCATGCCCAACCTTTCCTCTTTACCAGGATTATCTCTGGCTCAGTGAGGTAAAGGAGTGCGCCGGCCGGGGATCGAACCCCGGACCATATGCATGGTCGGCGAGCGTGCTAACCGCTATACCACCGACGCACGACGCGAATTCATAGTAGTCAGTATTGCTGATAGGAGGTATTTCATACCTAATTGTGAAGCGTGTCTTAAAACAAGGGTCACATAGAAAGAACTACAAAGGTAAATTCTCAAAGTAGTGATTCCGTAAGCAGCGTGAAAATAACATGTCTAAGAATCGTTTGTTACTTGAAAATGATCAAATAATACCAATATAGGTAGAAAACTTTTTTTGTATTATAGAACTCCATTTAAATGGATTTCATGAAAGAGTCATCATCTAAATGACGCTACAAACTTGCCAATGCATTTCTGTGTTCGTTCTACATGGTCGCAGTACTGTTTTAGAAAGTCTATTCCTCTCGATTATCACTTCGATTTTGCATGAATTAAAGATAACATAAAAATACAGTATGAAAGTTCCAAGTGAAAAGTGTTTTTTTAAAACAAAATTTGATACTGGATGTCTGTTATCTTATACATTATGTAGCATCGATGGTTCGGTGGTAGAATACTCGTCAATCGTGTATGTGGTCCTGGGTTCGACTCCCCGGTTGACGCACCCCTAAGCCCTGCTAAGCCGGTAATAAAACCGGTAAACAGAGAAGGTTGAGCATGAGGCTGTCAACCTTACCCCATATAATGAACACCATTGCTCTCGAATCGTTAAGGCCCAAGCTTGAATCCCTATGTTCCATTGGGAATGCAAAGGATTAAAACAATAGATTGCATGATCAGAAGGCAACGTTATTAGCAAATAAATACTGAAATCGAAATTCATTTATTCATATTCCCACCCATGGCACATCTCTGTCTCTTTAGTAAGTCTGTTTGTTACAATTTGTCGTGTGTAGAGAAGAACACATCTGCTCGAGGTCAAAAAGTCATCTTAAGAAGTCTTCCTGCTTATATCTATTAATCTGTTTTATTTAAGTTACTAGGTTACGGTCAGACGATATCTACTGTTTCTATGGTTATAAGTCTTAACTTTTGAAAGCGGGAAATTTTTACACTGTAATGGTGAAACATTTAAAACTTTACTCTAAGTACTAATAACCATGTTCAAATTCAGCGTGCTAACAAAAAAAGTATTCGCAACCATAACTGGAGTTTTAAGTTTAGTTCTATCAGACGAAAGATTAGCTAGGACTTCTGTTGGTTGATATGATTTGAAAATTAGATTTTGTAATGGTCTAAGTCTAACTAAGCAACTGTTGGAAATAACACTCAGTCCTATAAGAGTATCAGAAGAATGTGAGCTCGTCTCCGCATGTTCACAGCAGGTAATTTTCATACAGTCTCAAAGTAGAAGCAAGATGTTTTTCAGCTATCTATACTTCTTGGTATTTGTAACATATTTCCATACACAATCACATTTTTTCTCTCATACAAATCAATTTATTGTTTGTCTTTTAATGGGGAACAACACTACTCTTGGAAAGTTTAGGTAATGTAACTTTGACTGACAGTTACAAGTTTGATAATAGTTAATGTTGGTTGAATATGTTTTACATTTCAATTTAATGTGTTGACGCCCATAATCTTTACACTTGCTTATCTGACCGTATTTTCCTAAAGTCAGTATTTTCAAATCTCAATGAACCAATGAGATACTTTATAAATATGTCAGTCATTCTACTTCACCACTGGAGATATGAACCACATAAGTAAAGACATCTTTAATACTGTAATACTTTTACCTAAAGAACGTATTTTTTTGTTGCAGATGTTTTGCTTCTAACGCATACAAATATGTTTATCTATTTATGAGATCATGTCAAAAATACTTACAAGTGAATTTCAGACGAGTGTCTTAGTGATATCTCTGATACAAACCTCATATGGATGATCCGTATATCCTATTGAGGTGTCTCAAACTAGAACAGCCAAGTACTCCTTCCTTTTTGTTTACGACATACGTATGTATGTATGAGTAAGGACTGATGAGTTCATTTCTGTCTGATTTATCTGTGACTTCAGTTTTCTAGTGAATTCTCATAATTCCCTTTCTTGAATTGGCAGAATTTAAAATTCATGGACTGCCCATTGGATAGGGTCCCAGTGGCTAAATGGTCTACCAGCTCGCCTTGTAACCAGAAGGTCCTGGGTTCGAACCCTGGCGGTGCGTGTGTACTGATGAAGACTCGAAAACTAGGACGAACCAGCTGTCCAGCACTCCCGGGTTTTCCAATGGTTTCCTAACTGATGGCAGCTAATGATGAAATCCTCCAGTCATTCTCCTAGGAGATGAATAATTCAAATAGAAACTGCTGCAAGAATATTGTCACTATTTATTTAAATCGTCCTTTTTTGTAGTTTTTTATTCGAACCCATATTACTATTGAAAATACGTTTGTCGATGTGAATTTAATTTCATGAAATATTATTATTATCACTTGAATTTATCAGATGCATTATGTCACCATCACGCAGCACAGCATGCTTTAATGAATCAGGCCAAAGGACCTATCTGTCCCCATATGCATCAACACTATTTGTCAATTCCATCAGGAGATCGTACATCTACAAGTCAAATTACCCATGAATCGCATAAACTGCAACTGCCCAGTGTGCGTGATTCAGCAGTAGAACAAGGTAATGAAGTAAGAAGATTGTCATCTGGCAAAACTCAAATCCCCTGGTTTGATTCGAATTCTCCTATTAAGGCTGTTGGTCGACCATCACCTTTAGCTACACAAGATTCGAAAGGTTTGAAGAAATCTATTGCTGCCGATGGCATTGAAATGAATAGTATTAAACAGTCATCTAAAGGAGCTTATTTAGATGGGCCACGTGGAAGCCATTCAGTAAGTTAGAAAAAACATTAATTTTTTCATTACAATTAGGTTTTCTTTTGAATAGTCTCCTGAAGATAAATCCAGCAAGCAATACCTTTTTTCTATAAATTTATGATTTACTCAGTTTATCTCAGTGTTTACGATTTCCGACCTCAAGCATTACTACGGAATATAGCTGAACTACTTTGCAAAAGTGTTTTGATGAGATAATCAATGACACAACAGAAGAAATGATGCTATTTTCTGAGAGAAATCAGATGAATTTACAATTACTTGGAAAACTCTTAACTATATTCTCAATTGAATAATACATTACACCCATGAGATTTAACATACTTTCTTTGCAAGCAGTAGTGAATTGTCGAAATAGTGAACTATGTGCTCAGTAGACACTGTTTAAGTCTTCTGTAATCTTTTATTTTGGCACCTCGTGAAGTATATTATTATCAGTGTATTATTCATCTCTCGGGTTCCGAGTGCAACAAAGGCTCTCAGCATCTCCATTTCATCCTGTTCATTCCAATCCTCTTTAGCTGGCTAAACGATTGTCCATAAAGTCTTCTGCTCCCCACACGATCTCCTCAATGTAAACCTCATGCCTGTACCGAACTTGTTGTTCCTCATCCAGGTTCCACTCGATGGTCATATGCGTGGTGTTACTCAACTGTCTCCTTGGCGTATGTTCAACCCATTTCCACTTGCTTCTTCATTCATTCTGGGCGATAGACTCCTGTCTGGTTCGTTCCCAGAGTTACTCGTTGAAAACTTTTTCTAGGCTGATAATCTTATCTTCAGTAGGGATCAAAAACAGCTGTTGATACGAGTGGGAAGCCTTTTGGCAATACTTTTCATGATCACAAAGTCTCTGAATTGACTTGACATTAATGCTGAAAATTCAAATCTTCTTTTCCATTCTGAGTGCATCAGATTTCCAAACCGATTTCAGAGTAATGAAGATATGTCTTGCTTTTCTGGTCCTCACCGGCTTTGACATCCCCATACATTCCATCTGTAGTTAAGACGATGCTTCTTGAATAAGTTATTTCTTTCAAATTTCTCCCTTTGATGAAACAATTCATCCCTGTAGAAACCACATTCAACTTGTTCAAGCATTTAATTTTGATTTTGTAATTAATATAAGAGTGTACTGCTTTTCAAGTGATCTTAAAGAAACTTTATATTCAGAAAATGACTATATATTTCCTAGACCTCAGGGAACTCTTTATACCTGCCATAATGCGGTAATACCATTAGTATTTCTCGTATCTCGAACCTGAAACATTTGTTTGACTTTCCTTAATTATTGATTTTTATAGCTCTCTTCGGGCTTTTCAGACATAAAAATAAGGCGGTTTTAGAAAAGAGTTTTGTACTTAGGTGCTTCTTTAGGTAGATTCAAGATGGTTTCTTATAAAGTATCAAGCTTTAATACACTTTCAAAATGTGAGCTACCACGAAATGTCAAATGCTAATCAGATTTTTGCTGTAAACCAAATTCTGATACCTTTGACATTCGCATCTTATGTAGAATTACACAAGCAACCATTGAGAACAGAACTATAAAGTTTGGAAATTACTGGGAATCACTTTGTTTTGGTTAATGTGACACGTTCTCATAGTTCTCCTGACATGCACCATAACTATTTTCTATGATAGAATTACCTATTAGTATAGCATTTATTTATAAATCTATGGATAATTTTCGATAGGATCCAAAATATTGTTTACATTTAATGCCTCTGGCTGGATGACTCTTAGACGATCAACCTTTTACTTCATTTTCGTCTGAGACAGCTAAAGTTTCCACTTTAGCATTCACAGACTTTTCGTCCATTTGAGTTATTACATAATTTGAAGGTGTTTTAAAGGTTTGCTAGATATCTGGTTAAATTGTCAACTGTTCTACTAACTACTGTCATTGTTATCATTTCATTCAAACAGTCACATAATGATAAAGAAGAAGAAGACCCAAACGAATACGGGGAGATTGAAGTAAGTATTTTACTTTTTGCACTTTTAAATTAAACTGCTCACACTAATATTTTCAAGTAAAGTGAGAAGTGTTCATGAGTGTATTATTATCTACATAACAAATAAGTTTAGATAAAATAGCTGTAAATTCTTATTTATATTTATTTATAGTTTTTAAGATGCTGTTTTAATAACTCTTTAATAAAACGCCTAATATTATATGGAAGTCAAAATGCTGATTTTCAGATAGTACATTCTATTTTTTTCTGTCTTACTTTCGGGCATGATTGATTGACCTACTACTTGTTGTATTTTGGTTGTCAAGATCATATTTCACATTAACGTGTCATTCGAACAAATCTGCTGTTCCTTCCCAGCTATTTCAAATCATTCCTAGTTATTTGAAGAAGATAAAGCAAGGAAACCAGTTTAATATAAATCTAAATGGAATTCAATAAGTAAAGTGAAATTATGTAATAGCGAATGATTGTGTCACAAATAAGTTTAAAACAATATCATCTTAAAATCGGCTCACAAATCTGCGTATAGTCTCGACAAACAAAAGGTAGAAGCTCACTTTAAACATGCAAAACCTTCAAACATTTATCAAATCAATATAAAGACAAGAACCTGACGCATTTCAAATAACTCTTGAAATACACTATTTGCGTTTAAAACGTGAAGTTGAATGATACAATTTCAGATTAAAAAAATGGGATTTCAGTGAAGTAATGACTTTTATAAAGAAAAATGTTTAGATTTCCTCCAGCGTATGGTTTTAAATTACGTTTATGTCTTTTTGAATACACGAGAGATATTGGTCAAAAGTGAAAGGGTTCCACTGTGAAACTTAGAATTAAAAGAGAAGTATTTGGCCCCAAAGTCTAGATTTTTTGCAGTAAATATGTTTAAATCTTTGAAAAAATCCACTCCAGACACTTGGACAGTATTTACTAAAACTTTACGTCTAGGGTAACAATCACTTAGAATGTAACTCTGGAATAGGTCTATGAATTAATCACAAATAAATGCATGAAATACTGTGATTCGACACTAGTAAATAGTTTGATGTATCTAGTCCTTTCTTTGGCGCAAACTGAATTCTGTCAGTCAGGACTGCAATGCGGACAGCAATCTAGGTAGCTTGCCATCACATGAGTTCACATGAAGGACATGGGTTCCTGCAAAGATGCATATACGCCTTGCTGACTGGTGAGTGCCAACTAGCACGAAATCTAGGTCCAAGGCTTCCTGCCGATTACCTCCAACCATCTAATATTATGAAATGCCTTCCCAACTTCAACGAACATTCAAAAGTGCCGAAATCGTATCCAGAAAACTAAAACACTTCCGAAACTCTAAAACATTGTTAGATCGAAAGTCACATGATGAAAGCTCTTTTTAAAGTCCAACTCAATAATAATAATAGTTCAGTAATATAAATTACCAAAATAGAACAAACTAATACTGCGGTTACAAACTATTGAGGCTAAATTTACGAAAACAGACTAATCGAAAAGATAAGTCAGGTGAAGCATCAACATACTATGTGATTTAGCAACAAACTCCGAATAAACACTTACAAAACACTATCAAATTGCAATCACTGATGCTTATCACTATTCTTTCTTCCGTTTCAAAGATTAATTAATGTTTTTTTTAGCTAAGTCATTTCATCATACACAATAAGATTTTAACGGATTAACATTTCTTCATAGTCACTTATTTTTGTCTAGAACTGATAGCGAATGTCAAAAAAAAATATTTACTTAGGTAGTGAGGTGTTTAAATCGGTTAGAATAGTATAAAACAAAATATTTACTCAGAAACTTAATACAGGAGGATTTCAAAGCCTCATATTAAGGCTGCTGAACTTAAGTTACAATCGATAAGCCTCAAATGGTTAAATAATGCAATCCAGTTGAATAAATGTAGTCTGTAACTTGATTGTTTCTCTAAGAAATAAGTTCTTTTTCAAATGTTTTTACTAAGATGATAGTAAAGAGTTGCTGACAGCCTGAGGAAGAAGGCGTTGGTACATTTAGTTCTTTTTAGTTATTTAATTCCGAATATCTCACCAACTCTTTCGAGTTCCACAGGGAGCATAGAGCTCCAGTCGGTAAAGTTTCAGTAACCGTGATAGCATTTTTTAATGGATGGAGTTCCTGTCTTCACTCTGAACTTCCTCTTTTCTGGGTTTATTATCAAGTAGGTGGAGTGTGTTGGTGCGTCGCTTGGGAATTGAACCCGAACCATGTGGGTGGCTAACAAGTATTCATCTACTGAATTATATTACACATTATATTATGCTGTCTCCAGAATAGCGTTCCTACTTCTTCTAGTTCATTTTCTGAGTTGATACGAAATTTAGTACGTACAAACTTTGAAACTTGTGCAGTTTTCCCCCATTACATTTCCTTCTTTTTACTACAGAAAAAAAAAACTAACGTACTATTGGCAGTGATTTATTGACTTCAATGTCGACTAATTCATTATTAATGCTATGACTTTTCAGAGTTACTTAAAAGTAAATTATTAAATATATATTGTAAATGAACAAATTACAAAATGATTAGGAAAGACAAGTTGAAGTTGGGGGAGACAGAGACAGAGAGAGAGACAGACAGACAGACAGACAGACAGAGGGGGCTTTACAGAAGGATACGAAGTAAAATTGCACTAGTATCTCTACCACAGAAAATTTCACTGTTTATTCAAGTGGAAAGGAGTTTTTTTCTGAGTTAATTTCCAGTAAATAAAGAACTAGGCCTGTGTTATTTTCTTCCGGTCAGTCAATTATGGTCCTTGATTTTTCTTTTGTTGAATCCAACGCTTATCACACGACTTATACAATATGATATTCTACAGATTAGAAATGAATAAGAATCATTTAAGTAATGATAAGAGGAAAATAACTTTGTTAGGATAGTGGGAGATATCCTACCTTATTTAGGTGATGTTAATCTGTTCGAAATGTGATATAATTACATATGTATGTATGCATATATCAGTTTCAGAGAAGATAGTATCTCAATATGAACTGACCTAATGAAAGCATATTTCTATGCATTATATAATTACCATCGGAATGAAATTTTCTAAATTTGTAATTAGGTCAGGATAAAATGGAGGTATAATGTAATTTTCCAAGTAGTTGAATATAATTTTACACAGAAAGTGTGAATTCGAAAATTACTCATTCATGCAATCACTCACAATTGAAGACATTTTATTGACTGAAGAACTGATTGGCTTAAATCGCTGTCTGACCAAATTAAATATATTTATGACGCAGCCGTTTACAACATGCAAACTGCACATATATTTAGCACGAGAAAGGATGATTCTAAAGCCTTTTTTTCAGTTTCTTTGACCAAGCATATGTAACTATTTTGTAACTATTTGCAGGGATTTCAGTGATTTCAAGCTCAATCACGAACTGAATTCAGTCAGAAAAACACTGGAAATCAGGGAGTGCTGGACAGCTGTTTTGTCTTTTTTCGGTACTTTTCAACAGTAGGCACCTATGACACCATCGAAGGTCGAACACTAGACATGTAGGTCACAAGGCGAGCTCATAGACTATTCAGCCTCTGGGACAGAATACAATGACCCATGAATTTGAACTTCTACCGGTTCGTGACAAACAGGGAGACCGCCACGCAATGTCATACGTATCTATTGTTACACCCCTGGATTCCACCCCATTGGCTTAGTGATCAACAAGCTCGCCTGCTAACCTGAAGGTCCTGGATTCTATCCCCAATGAGATCATGAATGCCTACTGTTGTAGTACTAAACTGGGATAAAACAGCTTTCCTCAGATTTTCTGGCTGTAGTTAGTTTGTGATTAAACATGAAATCCCTCAGATCCCTGAAAACCAATACTAGAAATATTTATCTAGTCTTCGCCAGTGACTGGCTACACAATGAAGTTATTTGAAGTTCTGGCGGGAAGTTTTGACCAGCGAGGTTCACCAAGTTCAGTATGGGGACAATTACTTGCCGATGACACTGGCTGGAGGTGGCACCATATATATCACTTATTAGGAGGAGTTAGAACCAATTAGCCATTGGATTCTGTCCTGGTGTCTGAATGATCAGCATGTATTTAATAATGCATGAAATAACACTGCTCAACATTTGTTTTCCATATCCATAACCAAGAGCAACATTTCTGGCGAAATCGGTTAACTGGGCAGTACCAATCTATATAAAAGTATCCAAACTGTCTGTCAATCAAATTTTACTAAATAGACTATATCCCTTAATCAGAGAAAACTGTAATATTAACAGTTTAAAGAAACATTAGTTTCATTGTAATGAATCCTATTTAATTTATAGACAATTGAAATCTGATCACGAACTAGAATTTTTTATTTACGTTTATATTTGACCTGTAGCTTATCCTAACCTTTGATGATTATGATCAAAGTCTGACTGTACATGTTGCACGTGCACGTAATCTTCCATCAATGGATTTAAATGGCTTAGCCGATCCATTTGTAAAAGTTCGCCTACATCCAGATCCAACAGAAGAGTAAGAAATTTTTAGTTATTTTTCCATTCTACTTCATTCATTTACTGCCATTTAGATAAAAGAGCATTAAATGTTTCGAACTAAAGTATACCTCAGTTGAAATTAGTTATCAGAGTAGAACTTTGAACAGAACTTGTATCAATTCAGTTTGTGACACGAAGGTAGAGGAAAATGAAGGAAGCGCACTACCATATTTACTATCAGAGATAAACATCACCAGCTTGAGAATACCTGGACAGGTCTTCGTTATCACTTATTCAGTTTCAAGTTTGAACATTATATCCACTTTTTTTATTCCTTCACTATCCCAGTGGAACATAGGGCTTCAAACTAGTGGCTTAAAGTTTCTGTAGCAGTGTTTATTTTTACAGGATGGGATCGCTAGTCTCATGCCCAACCTTTCCTCTTCACCAGCTTTATTTCTGGCTTAGCGAAGTAAAGGAGTGCGTCTGCCGGGTGTCGAACCCCGGACCATGTGCATGGTCGGCGAGCGTCCTAACCGCTGTGCCACCGACACACCATAGCTTTCTATAATCCTCAGTTCACACCCTGTGATAATGTATAGATAGTCGTATATGCAACAGAAGGTAGTTATCGTAACACCCTTAGCAAAAGTGAATTATTTGCACACCGTATATATTTCACTGTGTTTATTGTCATCTGTTATCGCTGTTGAGAAGGTAGATACCAATTTTTTTCATTCCGATGCTAATATGGGCTGTAACTGACCATCTATCAGGTAGAATTTTTATCCATTGAGCGACTGATATAACTAGCATCTTAAATACAGTATATATATATATACTATTCTGTCCGCTTTATACAGATAATCTGAAGTGCTCTTAGTTTAGCAAGCTTACCTTAAAACAACCCATTTTTTCAAGGTGAAACTCGAAACCGATCAGCAGTTGGTTCTCATACCTTCCTCGGCAGAGTATTTAGTCCGCAGTCATGGGCAACAGGTTTTAATTCTGTCCCTACCAAGGAATTCACTTCAACTTTAATTTCCATCTTGTTGAGTGATTCTTCATTTCGTAATATATTTATACTCTTTCTACACTGTGAATTTTTTCATTGCTTAATTAATTTTACATCGATATTCTCTTCTCATTTCTAGTCCTGATTTTAATCGTCAAACAAAATATATGCCAAATACCTTAACACCAGAATGGCAACAAACTGTAGTATTTATGAATTGTATAAAACGTACGCTGAAACGACGTGTACTTGAAGTGACTGTATGGGATTTCGACAGATTGAAAACAAATGATTTTATGGGACAAACAATTATTAATCTCGGTGGTAAGTACACTACTGTCTATATATCATTATGCATGAATTCCTCTTAGTCAGTTCGTGTAAATTTAGATATTATCAGTGATTAGGTGATAGTAAAAGGAATCACTTTTTTCTCATTGTGTAATTATTATCAGTATATATTCATGAGAGAAAACCATTTTTGTTTATCTGATTGACTGAGTGTTCTTTTTTATATCTAATGGAAATAGGTGGAAAGAAAAACAAGAAAGAGTCTCTTAAACAATTATTCCTATGCAAGCTGTAAAACTTTCTGATGACGATACAGAACGACAGTCGTTGAAAGTAATAAAAATGGCAAAGAAATGAATAAAAAGGAATAGTATCATAAGACACTGAATAAGTAAATCTTTTTTAGATGAAGGTTATAAAAGTATTCAGGACTGCCTCTGTGGATAATATCTAGACTATTGATATAAGGATAAAACTTGGGCATTGTGGTAGAGTATAACTCCATTATGGATAAAATTTTATTCTGATAAAGTCACACAGTGTTATACAGCAATATTTATTGATGACCACGTTTCGAGGACAATTTATTGCCACTGATAACCATATCAAGGCACCCACATAACTTTTTTGCTTCGTTTATATACATGAGCGAAAATTGATTAGACTTTTGAATAAAATTATTTTATTTATTTTACTTTTGATTACAGCTTGATTCCACACTGTTTTTCGGTACAAGTATGGAATTTTCAGCATGCATATCGGTAGCCCAAATTTTGCAAGCCGACCATAGATATCAGGTGTGCGTCGGCAGGGGATCGAACCTCGGACTATGTGCATGGTCGACGAGAGTCCTAACCACTGTGCCACCGACGCACAGTATAAGAGTGGAAGATAAGGTACATTCGGAAATAATATTAGTGTTATCAATAAAATACAATAAGATGTCTACATAGTAAAAACAAATAACTTGTTGGAATGCTATAATGTGAATTGAAATATATTTTAACATTATTTATTATCCTCCTCTGATTTGACTGGTAATAATATCTTCCATATCTCTGGTATTTGCATTGAGTCATTTCTATTGCATGTGTTAGGTGTATAATCCATGAACCAGGATTCAGTAACCAATCTCTCTCTCTCCACCTACTTATATATCTATGGTCGGCCTGCAAAATTTGGGCTACCGATATCCATGCTGAAAATACTATACTTGTACCGAAATACAGTGTGGAATCAAGCCGTAAATCAAAAAATAAAATCAAAATAAAATAAATCTATTAGTTTGACCTATGTAATTGACCTAACTCACAGTCATTGCAAGGTATTTTGTAAATAACATTATTTTGTTTAATTGGGTTCACTGGGTCCTTTAGTCTCCAGTGCTTGTTTCTGAGTAAGTTTGAAGCTTTGAATGGCACCCTAATTTCCGCTTTATTAAGAACCTTACGTAGTAAAAGCCTCAGATGTCCCTTCCTTATATGATAAAACTGTAGATGCCTAATTTACTCTTTCTTATCTATGTTATCATTATTCAAATGTCTACTCAATTTTCAGCAATATATATAAACGAAACAAAAACGTTATGTGAGTACCTTGATATGATTATCAGTGGCAATAAATACTGCTGTATAACACCTGTGTGACTTTATCAAAATAAAATTTTACTATAATGGAATATCTAGATTAGCATTAAACATTACACCCGAAAAAATTCGAACTGCACAGATAAAGGATGGTTACTGCAGTATCGGAATAGTTTGTGGGTAAGCAATAATTTTCACCTCCATTGAAGTAGACATACTGTAATATTGTTTAACGATCACAAAAAGGCAGTAATTAATGCCCGGAATATCTGAAAACCTCATCTCTTCTACATTTTTAATAACTAGCCTAATTGTATTCAACATACGGCTGAACTCTTCAAATGTATTTGAATAGTTGTCTTCTGATTTGAAATAATTTTGTATAAACTAGTTCATATCGAAAATTATTATTGTTATTGTTCCCTTGGGTTCCTAGTGGAACATAGGGCTTCAACTGCACGTCTCCACTTGCTTCTGTCTTCCTTCTGCTGTACTTTTCACCTCCATCCATGTTAGTCCATACTGTTTCAACTCCTCTTCACACGATCTCCTCCATGTCACCCTTGGACTGACGTCCGACTCACCGCTTCCCTTTCAGGTTTCACTGGAGCTATGGCCTGACGCGCTCGTGATGTCACCCAGTGGCCTCCTCAGCGAGTGTGCAATCTATCCATCTCCAATTTTTCCTGCGAATTTGCTGGGCGATTGGTTCTTGTTTTGTTTCTTCCCATAGTTTCTTGTTGGTGATTCTTTCCGGCCTGGTCATCTGATCTTCAGTATAGATCCAGCGAAGACAGTTGTTGATAAAGTTCTGCAACTGGGTGTTGGAAATATTCTTTGTGACCCGCCCACCAAGTTTCTGATCCGTATAGAAGAGCTGACTAACTTGACACTGTTTGTATTGAAAATCCGACTGAATTTTGTTGTTGATGCTGAGCGACGAAGATTTCCAAATTGGTTTCAGGTTGATGAATGTGTTTTTCGTCTTCCGATTCTCGATCTGACATCCTCGTCCGTTCCTCCTGTAGTTGAGACAATGCTCCCTAGGTAAGTGAATGAAGTAACCTCTTTCAAATCCCTCCCGTCGATGGTGATGGGCGCTGGATGTTGCTGCTGTTGCTGTTGTTGTTGGCAGTCTTAAATTAGTATTAGTATGAAGTCAGAATGACGGTTACACTTTCCCTTCAACAGATATTCCTATAGTGATTGTACATAGCATTTAGATATTACTGTAGAGAATTGTACCATTCTATACTCGTTTTTCTAAGAAAGTTATCTTCTTTTTCCTTTAGGCTTATTACAAAGCTATTAGCCTTTGAAAAGAAGTTAAGATCACTGAAGTATAATGAGTACATTCCAATTTCTGTCGAAAAATATTCGTTATTGCAATCTACTTCTGAGGGTATTATCCAGACACTACTGTTTAGTTTTACAGGGACACGTCAGTAGTTTTCAGAAGACTTTCTTGTGTTTTCTTGTTTTCCAGTCAACTTTATGAAACCAGCATATATTCTTCGAGAGTTAATGATATATCGACACTCTAGCAGATTGTTTAGTAATTCTTTTCAAATAGAATTTCAAGTTTCAGTTGAATGAAGATAGAGTAACTCACAAAATTAAAGGAATTTTTTGTTACATAACTACTCATAATTATACCCATTACATCTAACAAGTACTTCACAGATGTATTTTATCCTCCCCTCCTCTACATCTCTTTCTTTATAGATAAAGAATACCTTGACGGTAAACCTCACTGGTTCACTCTGCATAAATTAATGCCAGTTGTCATACCGACTTCTAAAAAGTCAGTCTCTTCATCAAAAACATCATCTGATAGTTCAAGGCAAGCTAAGGTAGGTGATAAACAGCCACAGAAATTTGTTACATGTAACTAATTCTTTTTTTTTGTAATTTGACAGTTTTTATCTAACTTGAATGTGGTAAAATGAAGAGAATTATAAAAGGAGTAATGTTCTTTTTTCTCTGAAGTAGATATTAAAACTTGGTATGGTAATTTCTCACTAGCACTACAGATATATCATTTTATCACTGAGTATGAAGTAAGGGACCGGATACGTTGGCAGACTTGCTTAACTTTTATTTCCTCTGGTAACACGTTTGTCTGAATGAATGTTTGCTAACCTAACAGGTGATGTTCAAACATTGTATAACTGTCAGAGCTGTATGCGTTCACATACATGCCATACTGCCCAACGCCTATTCAAGTAGGTACAAATGTGAATCCCTGTATTATTCGGGGCTCAGCAACTAAGCATAATTAGCGTAAAATCTCACCCTCTCGATGACAACAATAACTGAAGAGTAGTAGCAAGTAGAAAAAAAAATTAATCACAGTAACTGCTGGAATTCCCATTTAACTAAAGGTAAAAAAATAATTGGTAGTTAATTTTGCTCTAGCCTCTTAATTTGGTGATATAAATCTAAGAAAAATAAATACTAAGTTTAAAGAATCGTCTGATATTTTTTGCATATCTACTGAGGAGGTACACTGAAGCGGAATAAGAGTTTCTTACTACGAAATGAATTCAAAGTCAACACAAAGTTGTTATCATAATGGTTTTGTAGGTATAAGATTAAATTTTATATAATGCTTAAATATATGATATCTTCACTATCTAACTAGCTATTAGAATTTTAGGAGGAAAATTAAAATTAATGTATTCAGCGCTAATATTAATATCGCCAAGTCTATAAGACATAAAAAAATGTTTAGGTTAGACTGCAGAACCCAGTGATCCTGACTTTGCTTATTAGTGCATTTTTGGCCTTCATAATATGAAAGGATTAGATTTTATAGGTTTCAAATAGGAGGGTTACAAAGACGTTTTCGGTTAATTTTAAAAATTTGTCTTGTGGTTGATAAAGCATATGTCTAATATTTTCTGGTGAATTTAGTCATGAAGATGTATTTTAGAAAGACAAACGTTAAGTAATCACTATGAGGCTACTGAACTATACATCATCCGTCTAAACTTCATGAAATAAAGAAGACAAGTTGATGAGGACGCTGTGTTACATTCATTTTTGAAAATAATGCTTCCATTGGAAGCACATTAAAATGAACTTTACTTAGCAGGCTTAGATTCACTTTTCCTTAGACATTTCATATATTCTACCACTATATTTCCAAAGTTTGAAAGGTACATAATACAGTGAAAATTCTAAATTACTTTTTTAGATATGGAAGAATCTAATTACTGTACATTATGAGATTCCGAAATACTAATAGCTGACTATTCCCTTGATGGGTACAAATTTGACTGTAAAAGCAGGTGAAACAATTAACTATACTTTGACCTTATACTACCCTTTTGGTTATCAGGTAACAAATTTAGCTAAACTAGATCCCATTGGTTACCTACACTGTTCCATTTCTAAATCTATTCGGCAACAACGCTTAACTTTACTATAACTTTATTTCTAACTTTGAGAGGTGGTATGGAAATGACTTTAGTTGTCTGGAAACAATGGAAGTAAAATTGTTCCGGAAATAATCAACCAATATGATCGAGTATGATTATTGATACAAATACTTTCCTATAGTTTGGTTTTTAAGGGTTAGTTTTGTTTTTGCGAGTTGATCACCGACGACATTAGTTGGGGTCGCGCTAAATCACGAATTAGTAGAAGTTAGAATTCATGAGCCATTGAATCGGGTCCCAGTGGCTAAACAGCGTACGAGCTTGCCTTGTAACCAGAAGGTCCTGGGTTCGAACCCCAGTGGGTGCCTACTGCTGATGATTCCCAAACTAGGCTGACGAGACAGACAGCTGTCCAGTACTTGCTGGTTTTCAATGGCTCTCTGACTGATATCAATCCCTGATCAACTCGCAAATGCAAACACTCGTCAATGGCGATGACCGGCAATCGCGCTACAAATGGCTATTTGGCAAGAGCCAGAATTGATAGACGATTGGATTCCGTCCCTGTGACTAAATATTAAACGAGCTCACCTTGTGACCTGAAGGTACTGGGTTCGATTCCCAATGTGGCTATAGGCACATACCGTTGAAGAGTCACAAGCTAAGACGAAATAATTTTCCGATACTCCCTGATTTTCAGTGGTTCTCCAGTTGATGCCAATTCATCATCTAACTTGAAACCGACCAAATCCCCGTAAACCAACACTTGAATATTATAAAGATTTCAAATGGCAAGAGGATGAAACATGAAGGAATCATAACAAGGACAGAAATACCCACTGGATGTATTCATTTATCTTAGGCTTTTGGAAAACTCTGAAAACACATAAAAATTAAATAATAATTATCACTAGTTTTATTAGTGAATCATTTCCAAGGCGGTCGTACAAGATGAAAGCTTATTTTCCCTTAGATTTGATTCAAGGAGCCACGATACACTAAGTCGTTTAATTTAATAACATAACTGCTGAAGAACAAGTATCTGACATTTCAAGGTCATAGCTACTTTAGCAAGAGACTTCTGGTCCTTGCTACATGCACATACCGATTGTTGAAGCTTAGATGAATTATTAACTAACTAGCGTATGGTAAATAGCTCTTTATCACTGTGCTGTTTATCAGATAAACATATCTGATTAACAATTAAACTCTACCTCATTGCCTTAGTTTTCTCCTTACGCCTATCTGTGATTAAGTAGAAATAATTAGAAAATTATATAATTCAAAGAACTGTAGCGTATACTTTTAGTGTATTGTGCTTTGTAAGCTAAAAGCTTATTTTGCATATATTTTGCAAAGAAAGTTCAGTTCGTATTAATCAATTTTTTCACGTTTTATCTGAAATTAGCCCTGAAGTGTCTCCATGATATTCGTGCCATCTACTGTGTGCATACGCATAAATTTGTTTTTTACAAAATGAGTAAAATAATCCCAATAGAGCAGAACTGAGCCCTAGGAAACCTACAATTATTTACAATTTGAAACACCTCCCTAATCCAGATAGTCTCACCAAACAAAACAATGTTAAACTGGCAAATTACATGAATAGTTAGTTGTGTTTCGAAACATTCTGACAATATGTTTTCAAAAATTCCCAGTCAGTTTACATTTATTTATGTATTTAAATTAAAGTGAAGTCCTTCTTTGTAGGATTCGGTTTTGACTTAACGCTCAGTCTGGCTGTTGCGATATTAATAAATAAATCAGGTAATGATAATGTAGTGTATAAAGGTTTGAAAGCGCCTTTTTTCACAACTCAGCGTTAAATTTGTTAGTCGGTGTTAGTCACCGGTGAGATGCTCTCCAACCACCCATGCGGTCCAGAGTTCGATCCCGGCCAGCTCACCCTCAAGCCTCACTTAGCCACTGGTAAACGCAGCAAAATGTCAAGGCTGGGTGTGAGATTAACAACCTCACCCTGCGAAAACAAAGCCAATGCTACTGAAAACTCAAAGCTGAAGACTTGAATCCCTATATTCCACGCAGAACGCAAGGGGACAAAGCAAATAATGGTAATGATAAATACGGAGTGACATTTATTCATTTTACACCCATTTAATCTCTATTAGTCAACACTCTGCGTTACATTTTCCTGATAACTTATTATCCAGAGTTTCCCTGACCTTGATTTGTATAATAGTAATAACAACATAGAGTATAAGGTATGTTACCTTAGGTAAAACTTCAGTCGCTTAACTTATACACAGCATGTGGTAATTCACTATGGAGCATATTGTACTGATAAAGTACTTATTCCACAACTTTGAGCAAATCTGTTTTATAAAACATAAATTAATAGCAAAGTAGCATTAATTATCAGTAGCTCAAAAGATTATTGAATACAATATTTTGACAGATAATATTTGCATAACAGGAAGTCATTTTTTTTCTCTAGTAATCGAGATCAGTTTTAATCATCTATTTTGAAGAGATTGCTGTATGTCAGCCAAAATAATTTGCCTACTCTTAAATGTTGGTTAAAACCCATCTATAAGATGTACAGTGTGATCATCTAACCAACTGATCATAATTTAATGCTATCAGGAGTGTTTTGCCTAGAACACTGCAATAAGTGTACATAAACTGTAACTATAAGTAGTTCGCTTGGTTGTAGACAAACACTCGTAAATAATTTGGTCTCAGTGAGACCGTTTGATTTATTATCTAAGAATGACAAACGCATTTGAATTACGCGCCAAAACTTCCTTTAGTAAATTCAAACAGTCTAATAACAACAAATGGAACAGTTATCGCCTTCATTCAGATTTGCATTTAAACGATTCCTGGCATATACCATTGGATACACGAAACTCTCTAAATGATCATTCAGCAAATGACGGTCTTTTTGTACACTACAAAGCGTGCATTAAACATTCTCATTAATTGTCAGTTATAACACTGAATTGCAAGTAATTTCAGTGGGATTACATGGAATTGAAAGAAATGAATTTCCAGTCAATCCACTAGAAAGCAGCGTCTGAATAGTAAGTTCTGGAATCCATTCTAGTGGGAAGGATGTTTTCATTTTGTCAGGTACAGATCCCTAACACTTACCCGACTTTATTTGTTGGCGCCTAATTCCGTGTGCGCTTCCAATTTATTCTTTTATCCCACTGCCACAAATGATTCTCCTGTGTAGGTTGGAAGTTGGATAAGTTAAGCCTTACAAAATAATCCTAGGTTTCTTGTTGTCTTGGTCTTTTGAGTGTTTCGGGTCCTCTGATGTGCATCTTATCGTGTAATGTTATCTATAGTTTAGCTATGTTAGCACAGGGCGACAGGTCAGCTTACTTTGAAGTATCTATCCTTTTTCAAACTCATAATTTTCAAATTAATTTGCAATTAACGCGTTTCGAGATCTTTTTTAGTGTGTAATGCATCTCTCAAACTTGTCGAAAACTGAGATATTTTAATTTCCAGTGAATTAGTTCCAAGAATCAATTTCAAACTATAACTTACTGACTTTCTATAATCAAGTGTCTGAAATTCCCGAAAGTTGTACAGCCACTCAACACTTATTGACTTCTAACAGCTGTTCTTACTTTAACCCACTTAGAGTTTTTCAGTCAAATGTATAAGAAATCTAAACCTGTTTCCCCCAATTTCAATACTTAACCGTTGTTCTTTAGTGTGTACTATGTGATTATGACTACCTGTCATCCAATAGGTAAATGTTGCTACATGTATAACGACCAAAACCCAAATATCTTAGTATGATCGCAGAAAACCAGTCAACGAAATCAAGTCATTGCGGTTCATACAATTTACTGTGCTCTTCTGCATAGTTTACCAATTTCTGATGAATCACGCACTGTGGTACCATTAGTTCCCAAAAGGTTATGTCAAAAAACACAAAAATGCCTGAACACTGATGTTAGGCAGCAATACATTCCAAAGGTTTTTTTATAGTACAAAGTGATTACTATACAACAAGAATGGTTAACTAAACAAAACTAAGTCACATACTTGACAATCAACAAGGATGTTAAAAAAACAAAACGGAATCAAACTTCTGAACGTAAGAATCAGATAGAACAAAACATGTTTCTAGCAGACACTCCGACTGTAAGAGTCCACTTCATGATACAACGTTGAGTTCACTCACATAAAATATCGACAGTAGTAAATGCAACACGTTACTGTCAACACTCTAGTGCTCCACGATAGAGAAAGAAGTGAAACATTAATAATAAGAATAAGTCGAAAATAGACGAACAACAAGGACTGAGTCAAAATGATGATGATGATAGACGAGTCAGAAGCAATGGATAATAATTAAGAAATGAAATAAAATACTCATATAAGTATTAAAACTGTAAACAGACTGTTCAGCACAGATTTTCAGACCAATCGCTCTTCTATAACATACGAATAAAATGTTCAAGGTATTTAGGCACATGAATATCTCTAAAAGTCAGTAACTAGAAATCCATTCAAATGGGTCTGTTAGCCGAAATGTATAGAACATTTCAATAAAGAAAAATAAAAAGTGAATAAATTAAATTGCGTTTAAAGTTTTTTCCCCATGTATTCACGGGATATCGCATATAAAGAAAAACTCTTAGCTTCTTTGTATAACAAACGTGTTATACAGCTTACTGGTAATTATATTCATTTGTTTACTCTTATATCAACAATTCCAATCTGTCGTAACTATAACAACGAATTAATAATATTATAATATATGTATGTAAGTATATAACAAGAGAATGTGAGAAAAAAAAGAAATGTATTCACGAAAATATTAAGGAATTGTGCTATTCATTAAATATTCTTATATTTATGCAAATGCACAATTAAAACTAGAGAATCGAATATTGCTTTTATTTTCCAGTTCAAATATTTTTGAGTACTTAGCATTTATTATTATTACTCCCTTAGTTTCTGAGTGGTACACTTAGCTTCAGCAACACACTTCGATTTTTTTCTCTCTGTTTTCTGCAGTCTTTTTAGTTGGCTCCATGACTACGCATAAACTTTCATTTCCTACTCACATGATTTGCTTCATTTTACCCTCAGACATCAAACTCGTTGTTTTCTAATCAGGTTTCACTCGAGCTATGGCCTGGTGTGCGATGTCACTCAACAGTTACCCTAGAGTGTGTCCAATCTATTTCCATTTCCTTCGGCATGTTTGTTAGACTACTGGTTCCTTGTTGGTTTGCTATCAGTGCTCTTTTGTTGCTTATGCTTCCCGCTTGAGCGAAGACAGATGTTGATGGAAGTCTACAGTTTTTCTGTGATGCTGGCGCCAGGTTTCTTAACCATGAAGAAGAAGAAGTAACTTAATGTTAAAAACTCGGATTTTGTCCATTATGCTAAATGTAGCAGATTTCCATGCCGATTTTGCATTAGTGAACGCATAATAGTAGAAGCAGTCAGCGCAAGCATATTGTGGAGGCAGGTCATGATAATTTCGCTATTATATCACATTCAACCCTACTGTATCGCGATTTTATTTCCTATTTTTCGAACAAAAACCTATTTACTATAAAACCAATACTATTCACTAAAGGATTGCAATTTGTTTTTAGGTTAGTTTGCATTTCCTGTTGATTATATTGACCAAAATACTCAGCCTTTGTTGATATGGTGTCTTCTGCTATGGATGCCTTGACAGTGTTTCAGAGTTAACATTAAGTTATTTTGTTTGACTGTGATTATTAGTGGAATCCGTGGTGCTCATTTTATCCTATATGGGACTGGTAGGCCTTATGTACCTGCATTCCTAATAAGTGAAGGCATTACCACTAAGACTCAAACCCAACAGTCATTCATCAAACGCCACACACAGGTAGTAGTCATCGGGGTCCCCGCGATGGATGATGCTCTGACATTTCAAACGATGGATGGGGGGTCTCGAGTCCCAGTGAGAACACCACCCTTCACTATGGGATACAGGTACACCTAGATAAGGAATCCCAAGTGGGACCAAGTTAGCGTCATGGATCCCACTGCTAGTCACTATCAACCTAACAGACTAGATACTTTGCAACCAAGTACACTTACCGGAAATGTATAAATTACTGTTAAAGATGTAAATAAGCTTAATAAGAAAACTCTTACGTTTAAATGTCAAAGCTCGACTAACGCTGAATAACATTCAGTCTCATCTTGAGCAACAAATTTTCTCTATTATGAGGGAAAAGTCATACTGGTGTTGTTCACACAACAAAAGCTCTTGGTTTCAGTGTCTATACTAGAAAAAAATAAATATACATCGACTCGTTTTCGACTTTTGTATCTATTTTAATAATAAAATAACAAACTCCTTTACTTTGAATAATTTTGTTTATGTTACTATTTAGGCTAATAAATCTCAGTCTTCACTTACAGATCTGCTAGCGAAAAACGTCAACTTAAAACAACTATTTTAATTGAATTTTAGATTTTCCCGTCGATCGATTGGACCGAAGTGCTCGGTCTCAGGTTGACATGTCGGCTTCTTGTGCAGATGCTTCGACGATGTCTGGGCATTTAATTAGTATTCAGTTGGTGGATGGTGACTACAGTAAAATCCAGGATGCACAAGTGGTCTAGTGGATAACGCTTTGGCGTTTGAAACTATAGATACTGGGTTCGAGCCTCGGTGGTAACATCATCACTCACCGGGGAATGCAGGTACATCCCAAAAGGACGAAATGCGCATCTGGATTCCACTGCTAGTCACCATCCATCAATTAAATAATAAAACAACTATGATGTATACTCAGATTTCGTTTGGTCCTATGTTGGAGTGTTTGTTAGCTAAAAATACATACTAGATTAATACGCTTGTTTAATGTTGTTTTAAAAAAAAATAAAAGAATGAAGGTAAACTGAGGGTGTCTCCATGGATTCGACCGTAACGTGATTCAGTGAACACTAATTCAGCTTTGTTTACTTAGTGAGAGCATTTCTACCGTGATACAATATGAGCAAACCAAACATTTTATCACGACATAAAACGAAGACGTTTTTCTGAATTAAATATAATAAGCACCACCAGATGCAGATTCATTATGTTTGTCATAGTTTAAAATCATCTTTACTTACTATATAATAAAATTTTCAAGTATTGCATTTGTAGTGATTTTTTGTTTGACTGTATGGCGGATTTCATCATTGGATAAGGTTCCAGTGGCTCAATGGTCTACGAGCTCGCCTTGTAACCGGAAGGTCCTGGGTTCGAACCCCGGTGGGTGCGTACTGCTGATGATTCCCAAACTAGGCGACGAGACAGACAGCTGTCCAGTACTCTCAGGTTTTCCAATTTTTCTCTAACTGATTTCAGCTCATGATAAAACCCTCTATACAATCATATAATAAAATGCCTTATATATTCATACATACACATTCTCTCTTTGTTTTGCTCTTGTTTTAATAGATTAAATTCAATCACAAAGAATGAATGCGTACAGTTCAAAATATACTTTCAAACACAAAAAGTGCATATATACTTTCCACTGATTTTGCATATTTCTTTATAACTTTAATTAGTAAACAAATTATCTGCTTATTATCCGAAAAAAACCTGACAACTACTTCTAAAAACCAGATTATACCTTACAAAAGTATATATATATATATATATATATATATATGCACATATATATCAGCCTATGACGTTACGCATACGTGATGTATGTACCTCTTCTAAGTGTAACTCTTACAGTCATTCTTTCATTTTCTTACTTTCTTTTAAACCAATATACATATTTTATTATTTCTTTTACAACATACTTCTCTATATCCTTACTAGTTAGTTATTCAATCACTTCCCATTGTTGGTAAAACCAGACGACAGATTGAATTTGCTACGCTTCACTTCACTTATATACTTTTGTTGTATCTTAGCTGCCATAAATTATTTTACAATTCTTGCTATCTTTTCTAACTGGAAGGGTTTTTTCTCCCCGCCCCAGTTTTCTGTCTGAATGCTTCATTTTCAACTGGTGATTTATACTTCAATATTTACTTTATGCACTATATTTACACACATATACATATATACAATAAAAACCCAGATTTTATTTAACTAACTGTTATTCTGATGAAATGCCGACTATATGTATCTTATCCTAACCAAACTCCAAAAAGGAATGCTTCTTATTATGTATATATAAAAGAATACTGCCCAATACATACATGTAAAACTAAAACAGTATATATATATTTATATTATCATGTATATTTTAGCTTTCTACTTCTTATCCTATTCACCTTCCTGATATCTTTTTCCATCTTTTATAAACGAATTTTGAAGAGAGGATGATCGCCTGAAATAATGATTTTTAAAAAATATATTTTACGCATGAAATAATCATTTTTTTTAAAATGTTTGTTGGGCGTTGGAGAGTGACGTCGAGGAGATTGTATGAGGAAGGGATAAAAGCTTATGGGCAGTTATCTGTCTGTTTTCGACATAGAACTTTGCACATATGTGCGGCAGTTCAAGTCGCCACACTCCCTCCATGTAGCGCACAAAGCAAGAGAAGAAAGTACAAGAAAAGCATAATAGAGACAGTAAGCAGAGGTGTGAGACAAAGGAATAGTAATAATGAAGAGCAATATAGTTTCATTGGAAATCATAAATCAAAAGGAGTGGATGCATCTGCGTCACTGAGAACAATTTTGAGCCATGTCACCAATTGTTTCCAACCATTTGTTTTTACCGTCCCATGGATCCAGTTAAAAAAGAACTGCAGAAAAGAGGATGAAATGAAGGTGTGCTGTTGAAGCCCGTATTCCACTGCGAACCTGAGAGAAGAAGAATAATAAAGTAATTAATTATCAATTGACACTGACACTTGGCTGATTATCAAAGCTTCACGATTTTTCTCTGTCTTTCGTTTTGTGATCAGAAAGTAAGCACTTTAGCTGAATAGAAAATGTATGCAATATAGTTGAGTGAAGTGAGTGTATCTAATCAGTGACTTCTTTGCACGAAACTGAACAGCTGTCATTAGTAATAGTACTAGAGGTTGTCAAATAGCCAAAATTTCAAGTTTCGAACGTTCTTGATCAAGATAAAGACATTTTCAAGTGTCATTTTGTAGGGTTTGATCAGTTTAAAGTTTTTCAACGAAATGATATTAGGTGGAGAACCGTTCAAAAGTAAGGAGTACTGGATAGCTATTTCCTCCTTGTCTGAAACTCTTCATCAGGACGCATATTTATGGAAGTTAGAATTCATGGGTCATTAGATTCCGTCCTAGCGTCTGGGTGATCGATAAAACCGCCTTACAACCTGAACATCCTGAGTTCGATTCTCAGTGGGACCATGAGTGCGCACCGATGAGGAGTCCTAGAACGGACAACACAGCTGTCCATTACTCCATAGTTTTCAACTATCCTCTGAATGATATCAGTCCCTAGTCAGACCTGAACCCAATAGAATGATTACCTTTGCTAGCAGATAATTTCGTCATGATCATGAAACGAAACATTATACAGTTTTACATTATAAAGCTCTTCGCAACGTGAATTAACAATTGCAAACACCAAGAGCACTCTTTAGATGCGAAAGGAAAATAGAAATGGATTTAGTGACAGATAATGAAATGCTGAAAAGGCAGAATTAGGACTATAACCATAGGCAAGAGAATGAATTCAGCTACTTCAAATTCAAGCGAATTCGGAATTCGCTGATACACAAGACTAACTTTCAAAACGGTTAGCCTTAAAGCAACAGTAAGAAAACTTTGTGTTTCTGGGAACTTCATAGAGAGCTCGGTAGCGGAACAAAATATCAGAATAAGAATCCAAGTTAACGAGAGAATATTACAAGAAATACTGTTAACGAATTATAGAAATTAATGATCACTTGACGATGCGATTAAAGTCCGCTGCTACAAATTATGATTACAGTCTACATAAGTGTTCAGTGCTCGGCTCATATACACTAATAGGAGCTGTAAGCCGGTTGTAGAATAGTCTTCGGATGAGAGGTTCCTTCAAATTCCAAAAGATACATCGCGGTTAGTAGCGAAACAGGTAGATAGTATGGACCAGTTAGAAGACGAAACGACGAGCAGCAAGCTATATCTTAGATTGCACTCTAAAGTTATGTATATTTTACAATGAGTTGTTTTAAACAAAAGTTATGTACAATGTTTCCATTTTTAGCATCTAACGAAGAACTGTACAATCATATTGCTCCAGACTCCACAGATCCTATGCCACAGTGGTATTCCATAGCAGTTAAAATGTTGTAATTTAGTGGAGTGATACAGTATTACTGGATGAGTGAAGTTATGATATAATTTACTTCTCATGATAGGTGAAGAATATACAACGTTCTAACCTGGTCTATATGTTAATATATGTGTAAAACTTTGGCACTGTGGTATTAAGTAATTCCATATTAGTTTGATTATTAAGTGTATCACACAGTGAAACAGTATTGTATACTGGATGACGTTTCGAACACAATTTATTGTTCATAATCATTTCAATTTTTTTTGATATGATATGATATTTTGATATGATTATGAACAATAAATTTTGTTCGAAACGTCATCCAGTATACAATACTGTTTCACTGTGTGATACATTTAATAATCAAACTAATATGGAATTACTGGTCTATATGGTTTCACCAGTTACAGGCTTTTGGTGTTACTCATATTGTATATCTTTTTGTCTATCCGAAAATGAAGGTAAATAACCTCTACTGCATGCATTGGGTGTTGGCTTGTGTAACAAAGATTCACTGTCAGATTTTAAGGTTTTCCTTCTGTCTTATAATACGGTAAGATTAGGTCAGTGCGAGCTGATTTTTTATCTATATAAATCGTTTCTATGGACTTTGTCAATTCAATTATAGTTAATTAGTGTAAAGGATATTCAGACTTAGAGAAAATCAAAAGCTCTAAGGCATTTGGATGCATAGTGTAAATAGCTTCAAGTTGGTCACAACAGAAGAAATTATATATCAACAGGGGAAAAAAGACTGAGTAAGGAAGAGAATAGCAGTGTATCGATTAAGACTCTCAAAGAGTTTGCAATTCTTCCTCCATCAAGTGGCTGAATTGTCAGTCAGCTGGCCTCGTAGTATGAAGGTTCTAGATCGGATCTTTGATGGAATCATGGGCTCTTACTGCTAAATAATCCTAAATAAGGACGAAATGGACGTCCAAGACCTTATTAATGTACATGACAAATTTTCAACTCTTAACGTCTCATTAATACCACTTAGAAAGCTTACTGTTCCTTGGGACAGTCCAAACACAAAATTCGAATTAAATGAACGACAGTATGTCGTTTTTATTTGAGAATTCTTTCCACTATAGAATATGTTTACAGAAAAGTCATTAGAAAAAATGCACCTCTAGAAGTCTTCCTAGTATGTATTCCAACGTTTTTGTGAGTTCTTTCAAATGACAAATAACAGAAAATATTTTTACATTCAATGATATCAGAAATAATCTTCAGGTAGAAGAAAGAACTAAAATATAGGTTTGAGAAGGTCTTACTCTTTAAAAACTGGTCCTTTCTTTGTAACCAATGACATCAAGTTCTAGCACATCGTATTTATATAAAGAACACTATTTGTAGACAGTCTGAGATGCGTTTCGATGTTACACAAAAATAATTTAAAATTATAATGATCGCCTCTAACTACTTGTCAACTTGTCAATTTAAGAATTTTCTTTATTATAAAATAAGTTACTGTATTTAACACTTCTGAGGGTAATCACCCGCATAAAATACAACAGTTTTGGTTGGATTCTTATTGTGTTTTTGTTTTAGTTATTTACGATAAATCGTACACAATTGCACGAGGAAATAATGCTGAAGTTTTAACACAATCCTCATATTCTTCAATTGGCAATTCATCAAAAGAGATGGTATTTTTGGCATAAATCTCACCCATTTCATGTGTCATTCCTTGTGTTCCGAGTAGAACATAAGGCTTCAAGGTGTGAAGTTTTAGTAGCTGTTCTTCTTCTGATTAAATGAGTTTGCTAGCCGACTTTCTACCCGTCTGACTACCGGTTACACTGAAATCGAGGCCAAGCATGTCCGGTGAACATTATACCATTGAACATAAGTTTCAGCTACCTATCTCATTATTTGAACTAGTTTAAATTGTATAAGATGAATATGTAAGCGTCATTTATGTGTAAAATTCTTTTCAATAAGAGACATTAGCATAACACTATTATCTGCATTAGTCGAAAAGAATTAAAAACATCGAAATATTCATAGTTTGAGTTTCAAACGCCTAACAAGAACACGCGTTAGTTCCTCGGTGGCCTGAGGTTTAAGTCCCGGCCGGCGCATTCCTTTATCTGCCTTAGTTAGACAAGGAGAAAAGGTTGGGAGTGAAGTTAGCTACTCCATCCCGTAAAAACACCACTGCTACTGAAACTTCAAAGCTAAGTGTGAAGCCCTATGTTCCACTGGGAACGTAAAGCAATATAAATAAAGGGAACAAAATAAACAAGAACATAATTCATCCACTGTCTAGATTAACTCTGATACTTTTAATCAATTAACTAACAAAAATATGATAACAAGAAGTATATCCTACAAATATTTGTCACTGGATAACAGCTAATTTAGCTGTCTAGTCAAAATCATTACGTTAAGTTGCTTAACCTTCATGGCTGTTGTGATGCAGTTTTGTGTTTCGCAAAAAATTAGTTGATAAGGTTTTGTAGTATGCAGTTTTGAGAACTGTCACGTCATGTTTAGTATGCTGACTAAATTATTCTGTATCCTTGGGATGCTGTGAACCTATAAAAAGTTAAACAATACGGAAGTATATATGAAATGAATGAATTAATAAATATGAATGATAAAATTTATCTGATAAAAAGAGCTAAATAAAAGTCTCATTTAATTATCAATGAAAAATAATAAAAACTGGAAAATATTCAAATAACTAATACAGATAAGGGTGTACATCAGTGTTTTAATTTTATTCATTAAAAAATTTAGTGTTTAAATTTATATTAGATATCCTGGTAACTGTTTATCTAAACAAATCTGTTGCTTTCCATTTGTTATTTTAAACTGAGTCACCTTATTTGAATTTTATATTACTCAAGTAAATACTGCTTATGGTGTTTTTTATGAGTTAGCTCACTAATAGCTAAGAGTATAGCCTATCAGTTACGTCTGCAGAAGAGGAAGATAATTGTTTATCTTTCCTAGATATATTGCTCAGTCGATGGCCTGATGGATCAATAATACAAACTATTTATAGAAAACCTACCTGAACTGGACAAGACACTATCTTAATTATCACAGTTTCTGCTTTGCTCGGTATAAAAAAGCCTTAGTAAGGTACCACTTCAGTAGAATCCAATGAATATGCACTGAAGATACACGTGATGATGAGGAAGAAAGAAAGCTAACCCAAACTCTGGTTGAAAATAATTATCCAGACAAATTCATTAAGAGATATAAAGTAGTCAGAACATCAAGACCCACTCTACAACTTGCCGCTAAGAATGACATGTACATCAAGCTACCCCACATGCGGGATCATAGCAGCTTGATAACTAATGCTGCTATTAAAAAGACATTTTATGCAGCTAATATTATAATATTTGAGAATTTGAAGCCAATATATCCATCTAAGCCCTTTGAACATACGAAAAATGATTTATCAATTTGAATGTACATGTGGACACATATACATAGGGAGGACTCATAGATCTCTAGAAGTAACGGCTTCCGGGCATATTCCTAAATTGGCTGCAGAAGCGGATAGAATCCCCAGAACCCATTAATGGTGAGAATGGGAGACCTAGTTCCCCTACTGCGAAACATATTATAGAGACAGGACATAAAATTGACATTAACACATCTTTTAAACCTATTTATAGAAGGTGTTTGGGGCGTATCCTAAAGTTTGTGGAAACCCTAGAAATTAGAAAGTTTAAACCACCTTTGTGCGCTTCAAAACAATTCGTCATCACACTAAACCTTCCTTGGTAAGATTTGCTTTGATACCAGGGTAGATGTATTATTAACTCTCTTATTTGGTTTAGTGATATTCATTCTTATTTTGACCTTCAGTATGCCCTTTTAACTTGATTTAAATTTATTTTCTCACCTCTTAGCTCTTTATCAGTTTCATATATATTCCTATGGTAATTCCGTGTGTGATCATATTTTAAGTAGCTATAAGTAAAATCCCGAGCTACCCAGAACACGTTATAAACGCCACTTACTGTCTGATGTCTGGTTATGAAACTCAATTAGTCAGACTGAAGTAATTGGGACAACACCTGAGGTACGTTGACTCACAAATTCATATAGTTCATATTCTTCCACAGTGAATCACGGAAAACTTCCTAATGTTATCTATTTCAGTCAAAAGTCAAAAGAAGACATTGTGACTTTGCATGCAGCAGAGTCGCAATCTAATGTTTGTCGTCATTTACATTAAAGTATAGAATTGGCTAGTTTCTTACAGCAAAAATCACGCCAGACATCGGAACATAATGAAAATCTTTGCGGAAGAAAACACCAGTTCACACTGCCATACTTTCAGACAGAAAAAAAACCATATAATTATTACACAAGAGTATATGCAAACAATTTCTTTATGCAAGCGATGTAGGTATCAATCGATCACATATAAAATGAGAGCAATTTCTTTCCCCAACTTCTAACTTACCATGATTAATTTAAATAGCTACGTGGTGACAGCTTGTTCAATATCATCACACATTAACCAATGCAGTAATCGAAGGATGGTTTTTTACTGACAACTAATGACCAGTGATGTTACCCTCTTGGGTTCCAAGCAGAAATAAGGCCTTCAGCAACATGTCTCCACTTCATTCGGTTCTCTGAAGTCATATTCAGCTGGCCTCACAATCTTCTATAAATTTTCATTTCCTATTCACATGATCTCCTTCATGTCATTTTTGGATGCTCCACTCTGTGTTTCTCACTAGAGTTCCACTCAAGGACCTGACGATTAAACTAGGCGAGGTTGCCTCCAAATGTATAAATGACAAACTGATGATGAAATCCTCCATGTAATCAAAAGAAATCCCTACAAAACCAATACTAGAAAATTGAAATTCTTTTATTTTAGGTATTCAGTTTAAGCAATTAGATATGCATACAGTTCAAGTGATATACAAGTTTTATTTTAGAAAATAATAATAATTGGTTAGTTCCTAAACAAACTATTACAAGAGCCATAGTTAAATTTTGGTACAGTATGTCCAGTACGCAGTTGGAGAATACTTCAAAAACGAAAGAATGTGGTAAAAAAAATATATTCACATCATACCAAGTTATGTGCAAACTAAAAATAATTCTTGCAGAAATAATGACTTCATTCAATAACAAATTGTATAAAATAAAACTTCAGTTAATCTGAATAATTTGAAAAGGATCATTTATCAAAACTTTTAACTCTGTATGACGATATCATCAAAAAAGGTAAATTGTAGAACAATGGAATAAAAAAAAGAAGGTTGGTAACACAGTTTATTTCTGTAAAAGATCACGTGTAATCTCTAAATTCATACGATTTCGTTCAACAAGTATATCAGCCAATTCTTTATGATCTGATTGTCTAAGGGCATATTCTAATTCAGCAATTTTCACCTCATCTTTAACACTTTCACGTAATTTTTTCCAATACATAAGTGTTTTTTGTTTAAAGGCTGCTTCACGTTGATTGAATGTACGCATTTCTTCATAGTTATTAATACATGTTGTCAATGGTATATTTAATAATAAAAATGCTCGTATATCATTTTCAGTTAATGCTTTAGCTATATTTAATATGCTTATATCCGATAGAACAGAGGCGGATTGTTTATTCTCCTGTTCTTTATCTTCACTGTCATCTATATTTTATGGATGAAAAAGAAGAAATACAAGGATTAAAAACTGTGTTATAGTGAATAACACGGTGAATATTTTATGCCATTTAAATTCACTCCTTTTGATCGGCCTACTGTTCAACTACATGAACCTGTATCCTGTTGCATACTAACTTCACTATTTATCCTCAAAATTATCAATATCACTTTAAAGGTTAAAACTGAGTGACCAACTGAGTTTCTGCATTGGGCTTAGCACAAAAGTGTAGCTGTTCAAATTGCCACATTCCATGTAGCATATGAACATAGACAAGGTGGAGAGAGGAATAAAAGGGATTGAAAAAATCATTATAAGCAGAAACTCGAAGGCTTAAGCATAGTAACATAGAAAAAATGATGGCTTAGTGGGTATAGCCGAGTAAATACATCTGAGCCACTGAGAAAAATCTTCAGCCATATCACTAACAGTCTCCAGTCATTGGTTCTTAGCATTCGAAGGACCCCAATCAGGCAGTCTACATCTCATTACATGATCCAGGTAGTTACCTGGGTTCTAGTGGGAAGTCGTGACCGTTGGGGTACAGCAGGTTGGGTGTGAGGACAAATACTCGCCACGGATGACATTCGTTAGTGGTCAAACCATATCGCGAGTTGGAAAAAGTTGAAATTTATGGATCAGATTCCAGTAACCTAATGGTCTACGAGCTCGCCTTGTAACCAGAAAGTCCTCGGTTCAACAATCAGTACGTGCGTACTGATGAAGAGCCCCAAACTAGAGCGGACGAAACAGCTGTCCAATACTCCCAAGTTTTTCACTGGTCTTCTAACCGATGTCAGCTCATGACGGAATCCTGAAACCAATCAAATCCCTGCAAACTAACAATTCAATGTTAAAGATTCATAGACTGATTCCAGGTTTTGGTCTGGTTAGCTCTAACTGCTTTTGCAGCTTAATACTATGACGGCCAACATTACTTGTCAAGTAAGTCGATGGCTGAGCATGCTATATTAAAACAACTGTATCTGAACTGCAAAGCCTATAACACAATTATTTATATAACTTAAACATTTGAAACCGCTTACCTGCCATTTTAAATGTATTCTTTTAATTAGCGTTTTTTTCTTGAGGGGATTGCTGCTGTTTCCTAAAATCGGAATAAATTTTATAAATCATTTTAACGTAATAATCGTTTAAGTAATGTTTTTATCGTTTATTTATCTTGTTTTATTTAAGAGTTTTAATAAAACAACAAACATATTGTTTCATAGCTGAACACCAGTAGCTTAAATTGCAGATATATACATTAATTTAAATCAGGCAACAGTTGTGAATAAAAGAGTTTTTAATAAATTCATAAATTTTAATGGGACTTTTCAGCTGAATACTCTAAAGCATGATTGTTTATATTGGTTATTAAGGTTAATAAAATACAGGCACATAGGCATGTTCACAGCATATATTTTTATTTTTGATTATAGCTTGATTCCCCACACCGTATTTTTGGTACATGTGTGGAATTTTCAGTATGCGATATCGGTAGCCCAAATTTACCCGGTCGACCACTGATATCAGGTGTGCGTCGGCAGGAGATCGAACCCCGGACCATGTGCATGGTCGGCGACAGTTCTAACCCCTGTGCCACTGACACACAATTCCAATATTTATACCATAGACAAGAGATAAGTGACAATTCGTTAATGTTATACCAGTAGTTTTTGATTTCAGTTGCATCCAGGTCAGTGATGAAGAAGTACGTCTAATAATAATGAAGTTAAACTTGAAGTGTCGGCCAAGGAAGGAAAATCAGCCCATCAAATTATGAAGTCCCACTGATTGAGATAAACAGGATATATGTTGTCCATATCCAGCAAATTCCTTCCTCACAAAGCAATATTAGCTTAAGTAGGACTAAAGTGCAAAGGAGCTAGGAGTGTTCAGCCTAAAACATATGATCAGTCAATTAACTTTTTGACTGTCGGTTTGAGTCATATAGGGCATCATTCATTCATATGAAAGATGGTAAGTACTCACATTTAAAGGCGAATAGTTTAGAATTCCATCAGAGCTACTGCTCTTAAGTGTAAGTCGACAGATGATAATGCATGAAACCTAGGAATACTAAATTCTTCAAAAGCAATTTTCAACAACTATTTTCATTACTACAAAGATGAGTCAACAGTCGCTATCATTTATGTGTACTCATTTGAAAACCTGTCTAACCTAAAGAAATGTGGGTTTAGTATAACACAAATTTCGTCTTTCTGTATGTCAGTGGAAAGCTTATGAAATAATTATTAGCCTTTCAGCTACGTACAGATTTAATGAAGCTGCAGCGACATGACTGATGAGCATAACAACATGTATCTGATTTTCATATACCTATTCATTTTGTTCAAGTATTTAATGTTTGCCACAACATTTCTGGTTGTGCTTGCTCCATATTTAATTAAAAGTTCGAAAGTGATTCAGTACACTAATTCCACTAGGGTGTTTTTCAAATTCTTGCATAAATCCAAATGAACTGATTGAAATCAAAGGTTAGTCAAAAGTGTAAGCATATTTAACTTTACAGAAATAACTCCCTAATTTCAGGATAATTTACTGGCATCACTTCGCTCTTTCCTTCTCTGTAATTATCAGACATGAAGTTTGGTGTATAAGGCATACGAGCATTCGAAATTGTTAGTTATATGTGTGTTTAGTGTTGTTCCATTTGCTATTTTGGGTTAGTTTATATAAACATATTTATAATTATTTAAAAATGTATGCTTGCTTAGTTTCCTTAACTGATGTATTGAACAATGCCAAATGTAAAACAACATTATATGAGACACTTTTGATAGCTCTTGAATAAAAGGATATCTACTGTTTTGAAGTGCACCAGTTCCACGCCAGTATAGCTTCATTCGTTTGGCAGCTCTCATTAGTACTAGACTGGATTTTTTACTGTGCTGAATGCTGTTGTGTAGTGTATAACATTTGAAGAATGCTCTGTATGTCAGTGAGAAGGCGTTAAATTAACAAAGCCAGAAATCTGAACATTATAAAAAGAGAGAAGCACTCAGTTTGAAGTTCACCTTTAGTTCAGAAAACAGTATCAGCAGTTGCATGAAGTTGGTTTGTGGCTATAAGTCTTCCTTCAAGATGGGAAACGCACTTCAGCAACACTACCTGATTTGTTTTCCTTGATAAAAAAATTGTTTAGGAACAGTCCATAAACACTGATAAAATGAAGTGTGGAACCTAATTATACAGGCTTTTGTTGCACAGACTACCTACGGTTTCGCTTTAGGAGTACAACCTATTTTTTCAAATTTTCATATGGCTAGTATGATAACCTTATGCTTATATCAACACTGTACTAAATTCCATTGAAACAGTTAGAAATACATTTCAAAATGGTTTCTCACTAATCGGAACATCCTTATCACCTTGTGTATATTCCTTCAAAACCATACGCACAAGGTTTTAAAATATACGTTTATGGCAGGGTGATTGATAAAGCTTAACATAGAGACTTGGGATAAGTTGAAACAAAAACCTGAGTATTATCAAAACTTTCACTTATAGGGATTTTTCCTTAGACTGGTATATTTTAAGTAGTCTCAGTAGTGTTATTTATTTGACAGTAGCTAAAAGTGTAATTGAAGATGCTCATTTCTTCCCTATTTGAACGAATGTGCTACCATCCTTAGTGAATGATGGTAATAACATTAAAATAAGAATCCAGAGATAAAAGTTTCAAACTATGGTCCATTATAAATCTGTCAACAGAAAATACAGAAAACTTAAACAGATGACAATTCTCGGTTGTATTACACATTGGAGAAAGTTCAACATAAGGAAAAGAGAAAACAAGATTTGTTTCAAGGATTTATCTTCCAGAAGCTCTATATTTCCACAGAAATTAACATACCAAAACTGAATGACATAGAGAATAGTTAGCTATTGGGTTTATTTTTAGAATAAAATATCAAATAGTCAAGTTTCCTTACAAGACTTAAAATGTTTGTTCCTGAAATCGAAGTGATTTTCACTTGTAAAGATTCTATCCTACTGAACTTATGTGGTGATTGACTATTTCTATCTCTGTATTGTTTAAATACTTACTGTTATTGTTAATATATTTCTTATGTGAATCGAATAATAATTCCGCTAAATACAAATTCCTGAATTCCGCCCTCTCTGTGTTTTGGTTGGATTCTTGTAATTCGGTCATCTCGAAATACTAATACTACGATTACAAATAATTAAAACAACTTATGAACTTCAAATTGTACGGAACACATGTTTCATTTTCAAGGGGTCAAACTTTTGGATAAGTAAAAATGTATCTTAAGGTTTTTGGGTTCAAAATGTTACTACTAACAAGTTGTAGGTGCTTCCAACTCACTACAGTGAAGTTGGACTGGCCTTAATTGTGTTTTTTATTAGCTGCCTACTTTAGAATACAAAAGTTATGTTTATTGAAAAGAACAGCACGGGAACAAAGGGTGATTTATATTCATGTCACATACTTGTTTGAGTAGGATTGTATTATACTACCCTAAACACACTGAGTCATTTGAAATGTATGAACACTGCCTCTGTTTTTGGAAAAAAAATCGCATCACTTGAGCACCTCCACAGGGTTAAACTGTCATATATAAATGATCTATGTGAGCTTTTCTTAGCATTTTTCTATTATTTTTGGATATGAATGCATTTTATCTTATTGAAAATGCTTTAAGGCCTTTTCACAGTGTCTGCTTATAGATCCAAAATCCTTGCGATTATTTAAAAAAGAATTACAAAGTGGAGAAAAGTGCTGAAAAGTCACCTTACTTTTTGACAGCGATAACAAATTCTAGTTTTGAAAAATCGCTAAGCCGGTGTAGAACATTATCTTCACCGCGCGCTCTTTTTGTATGAAACTTGACTTTTATATTTAAACGTGACCAAAAAATTTTGAAGGACCTAATTATTAAGTACACTGTCTGTTTTATCAATTTTTACGGTATATCCTAATGCCTCCTGTAGTGATCTTACGGATTGCACGTTAATATACATATACCTTCATTAGTATGCAGCACTCTTTGAGTATTGTACTCATTCAAGCCTTCTGTCGACACTTCTTTTTGTGTCTATGGCGTTTGCATCTTTGAAACTGCAAAGTTTTCGCTCAACCAGGAAATATAGTCGGGTCGAATATAGTTCCACGGAATTGGTAGAACTCTGGAGTTCTGAAACCTGCTTCCTCTAATAAATTTTTAATCGTATTGCTATATTTCTGTAGCTGTATACATCTCGGGCATATATTTGTTGTAAATTACAAGTTTCCGCCGTTTGACGCAGGAAGTTTTGTACACTTCCAGATTTTTTTGTCTTTTAACCTTTCAATTCTCCCTCCCGAAACCCACTCGTTTGGTTCACTTGAATATCTCAACCTTCTTCAGAATGTGAACTTGGAGTATTTTGCATCTGTCTTACGCTACACACTTAGAGAACATACACTGCACATAATGCAGATGGCATTTTAGACGAGGTACAGCAAGAGGTAATTATGATCGTTTTGTGTTTGGTGAGTGATAGAGGCATAAGTACGATATTTGGTATAAGCGTAAAAGCACAATATTTTGTGAAAGACTTCCCTGAAGAACACCTCGCTGCCCTAAGAGTACAGACTGGCATCTGATCAAGACAACTATTTACTGTTGGCTTGGGGAAAAAATGCTGTTGACACGTCCGTAGTGGTTCGTGTACCCGGACTAGAAATACTCACAGTAGCATATTGAATAAGGCTGAATACTAATATTAACTTACATTCGGCGACAAAGTTAGTCGCTGTTTACTGCCATATGGATCACACTACTGAGCAAACTAAATGGCTAATGGTCAAGAACGACTGTTGCTGGAGATTAAATCGCCTAAAATTAGCTTTTTTGAGTGACTAACAGAACAATATGTACATCGTTTCCGATGCAAAATACTCTGTGATTTCAACCAACTACAGTGAAAAACCACCGCATCACTTTGACAACTAGCGGGTTATCTGTGGAAACCATGAACCAGTAGTTCTAAATTCTGATTTCGCCTGCCACAGATCTCTTCACTGTAAATTGGTCAGAACCAATATGAATACCTTAAGTGACTGTGCAGATTACCTACAGCATTGTGACATGTATGTGGATTTTGTTGAATAAGCCTCAGTCAGTGAGTCTCTGTCCCGGATATGCTCAACCATGCTGGAGATGCCAACTTCAAAGTAGACAGACCATCCAGAATGTTCACTGCGTATTAGAGAATGAATTGATTTAACCGACACAAACCCTATCAAGTACAACCTAACTTGTCACATTTTCACCTAGGATTGACCTAAACCATACAAAAATACAGATTGCCGCTAGCGAATTACATTTGAAAATTATAACTGTTATAAGTTATATGCTCTTCGGCGAAATTACAGTCATTTGTCTAACAAGCGGCCTAAAGCTTAACGTCTAACGCGACTCCACTAACGCAGGCAAGTTCGGACAGATAGCTCCATCTGCACATGCGCCGTTTGTTAAGATTACTAGGTACTTGAAGCTGTTGAAATGCGACTACCAGTGCTTTAATTTTTTAAATAATTTTGTTGCAACGCTTTTCTGATGCTTGCTTGAACTCAGCATTGTTACTAACTCTGAAACCTTCCAGTTTAGAAAGCAACTGCTTCAACTTTCGGAGATTTAGAAAGAGCAAACTACACTCATCCGGTCTTGTGCGGTATCAAGACCATGCCAGACTACTCAGGAATTTGAAGGCTGCAGGAATAGTTAGTGGTGCTTCAATTACCAGTCAATTGGCACTGTCGTTGATAGTTAAATAGGTGGCTGAGATCAACTAATCAGATACTAAACATCCTATTAGTTCGCCAATTTCTCCTAATGTCTCTCGTGTCAACACTCTCAACCTTTTATCTCACTCCTGAAATGTGACACAGAGACGCGTCTATCCTCAAACAGCTCGACAGGTTCTTTAACTGCTTCTCTCACCTCGTTAACTTCCACACTGGCTCTTCGTTTTCTTCCTGAGGCAGAAATATACGGTGATACCAAAATTTAGCAAATCCATAATGGAAATACGATCCATACATTACTTAACCAATGCATGGTCGAGGGGTAGCCACTTCAATCAATACAAAGTGGTCTACATCTAACCATGCATCTTTTCACTTATCCAATCAAAATATAGGCTGTATCACTGCCAGTTGTCGTTCAAATCACCTAGGCGAATATTCCTACATATGTAGAAGTTTGCATGGCTCCAGACTGGAGTTCCTCTGACATATCCAACATCGCGGGCAAATTCGCTTAATTTGCCGTTCCTATTTTCGGTAACTACCTTTCAGTAGTCTATGGGGACATAATTCTTACGGTCAAAGGTTTCTCATACCCCGTGGTTATGAGAACATGACCAAATTCAATACTCTTCCGGACAAAACCCGACTTTGTTTTCATCAACGGTTGTGACACATGCGAGGCGCGAAAGAGGGCCCCATCGCTGAATTCTGATCACTGCAACGTTCGCGTTCTACCGAGCGTGTATGGCGAGTTACACAATGACGTTTTTATACTCATCTCATTAGGAAAACTCAAGAAGTCCCATTCATATGAAAATATTATTTCACTGGGATGCATGCTGCATGATAGTGAGGGGGGCCTACCCGCTGATGATCTGTCAGTCACTACTGTATCTAACATCATCCCCCATCTCAAGTTCTGTTTGGGCGTTTACCGTCCCACTGAAACACTGTTCACGAGATTCGACAAGACCTCCCCCCTACAACCAAAAACGCTTAGAAGAGAAGAAGAGAATTTGTATAAATCACATGATGATACTGGTGTTTGAAGAATAAACTCCCTGGTAAAGTTTGAAGCACAAGGACTAAATAGAATATACAATGAAAACCTTTCATCATGCAAGAATGCTATTAACATCTCGAAGTTTCAGTCGGCTCACAGGCTAAATTCAAATTTTCACTGATGCTCACTCCGATGTGAATGACTTAGATCGGCTTTTTTAATGCAACAAGCTAATACGGTTGTACCCAATATTTTTCGTCACATAAATGATGATTTGCCTGGTTTTAATGAGAGGATGCATTAAAATGTCTCAAATCCTTGTATCCATCACACAGCCTAGGTCCTGATGGTGTGCCGAGCATTTTGCTCCAAAAGTGGGCTGATACTGTGTGTTGCCCTCTTACTCAAATATATGATGCATTATTTTGCAGGGATACAGTGCCTGTAGCCTGGAAAGAAGTGGAGGTGTTACCTGTAACAAAAGTATCTTCTGGATTGATTCTAAAGTTTGGACCAATAGCCATCACGCCTCCATCGTGAAAACTATGCAGAAACTCATTGTGCTTGTCCTCAAACCTTCCTTAAAATCTTTCGGTGATACAAAGCAGTCTGCCTATGAATACACTAGAAGCACTTTAGATGCTGCATTGTCCTCTGCCATTATATTCTTTCTTGCCTTGATGAAACTGAGAGGTTTGCTCGAGCCTCCTTCTTAGACTCCATCCCCATTTTCTACTTTTTTCCCAGGGCGCTTCAACTAAGAAAGCTGATTTAAGCAAACACTGAGTCCTGTGTCACAAAGTGGCTGTTTTCCTATTTTTCGTGTAGAAAACAATATATGGCTTCAAAATGAAAAGAGCTGCTGTCAATGTAGTTGAAGATGGAACGATCGATTCACGATTGCTTGCTCAAACCTAACTCCATATATTTGGCGGGAGTCATCAATAAAGCAGTCATCGTCTCATCGTTCGCTGTTCAGTGGAAGACAGCAAACTATCAGAAGCCTTGTGTATAGTAACCTTTTGTTGGTTACATATCGGCGCAAGAATAAAGGATTCTCGAGTAGCTAATCTGTGTTCTAGTTTTTCGCTTTGGTTATTACAGATTGTCGCTGAAAGTCTTCCAGTGACAGCATGAGGTCCAGTGTAGTAAGGCCCCAACACTGACAGTTTCTGATAGTTTCTGTTCGTCTTTCCTCGTGTCTACCCGTCTTCTTTGGACAAGTGTTATCTGGAACTTTTCTGGATTGTTTGATCAAGTTCATGAATGCCTGGGTCAAAGAAAGGACAAAGCGCTTTGGAAGCAGACAGGAAAGTGAGCAATCCTGAGTTGCCTGTTGTATGTAATGATATGTTTGATGTTAAGCATGATAAGATTGATGTCCATGTTTCGCCGTCTCAAGATAATAGGAAATTTAAACTGCATTAATATGACCTCGGTGTTTCGACGGAAACCCAACTGACTATCCACGGTTTGTGAAGGAGTTTGAAGTCATGTTGAGTGGGTTTGCATTATATGATGAAATGAAGCTGATGTATTTGTTGGGAGGTACTGCACTAGTGTTGCTTTAAGAGCTATACAGTGCTGTAAGTTCATGCCCCCAAACGAAGGATATACAGAGGCCACGAGGATATCACGTCAAAGGTTTGGAAAACCATTTACGATATCCCGTATCATTTTTGAGACCATCAGAGGTAATGAGGAGCAGTTAAGGGACAACCCCGAGGAACTCTCAGAGTTCTTGGATAATTTAATGGTATACAGAAATACCCTCGTTTATCTTAATAGTATGGATGAGTTGAACTCAAGTTCGGTGATTGAGACAGTTGTCGAGAAATTACCGGTTCGTCTACAAAGGAAGTTCATAAAGATTAGTTTCCGGCTAGAGGAAGATGGTTTGGAGCCTGGATTCCATGATATTGTGAGGCTGATGAAAGACAGTGTCAACCAGGCGATGGGCAAATTCGCCAGCATTTTGCATTCTAAGGTAGAACCTAAGGAACCAGTGAATATAAGGAAGGCATTTGTGGTGAAGTCTCAAGACACAACGAGAAAGGATGAGTGTATTGTTCGCCATAACATGCATCAATTGAGTGATTGTAATCGCTTTATCGCTATGTCACCCGTAGAAAG